CTGACTTTCCTTACAGCTACACAACAGCAAGCTTTTGGTGCTGCTACAAGAAGGTCAAACATTTGGAGCAGTTGAAGAGGAGACAGCCCATTTCAAAGCTCCTTTGTTCATGGCCCAAGCTGCACACTCCTTAGACTTGGAAGAAAGTTAAAATTTTAAAGTTTTTTTTAAACATTGAAAAGGTATTTCAGCAAATTCTGTAGAAAGGCAGAATAGCTTTTCCAATATTAAAGCAATTTTACTCTTTAAAATAAAAGCTTTTTCCCCCAAAGCTTAAAATTGGCAGCATCTCTTTAACACTCCTCTCCAGCAAGAAAACACCTAATTCTTACACAGTTTGTATGCATCTGCAGATACAGCAAAGATTAAAAAAAACCCCAACAACAAAGACACAATCTAAAACACTCCTGGAAACTTCGTGGCTCTGTCCTGGAGATTTTAAGTAGGTCCTGGCCACTCAGAATACTGAACTCACCTACAGTATTACATAAACTGTTCAGTGGTTCACTAAACAGACACTGGATTGTATCCAGGCTGTTTCCCATCTGCTGCATCCTGCTCCCACCCCTGCACACAGCATTTACAAAGACAGAACTAACCTCTGCTGCATTTTGTGGGATGCTGGATTATAAAATTTCACACTGAGTGCTACGCTGAGCCTCAAGCAAGAGGAGCAGCACATGTCATTGCCAGACCCCAGCCTGGATGATGTATGTGAGCTCTTCTCCTGCCAGGGCTGGGCATGTGCAGAAGAGCTTGGGGCTGTTTTGGGTAAAAATCTGAGCTAGTCCTGGAGGGCTGTTGACCTCAGGGTAAGAAAGGTCTTAATGGTAGAGCTTAGTGAGATCTACTGGCCCAAGTCCCTGCTGAGCACTGCAGGGGCTGTCTGGGGCTGCGGGTCACACAGGGGAGCACAGCGGGATGGATTCCGGCCCTGCAGGCTGGCCTCACACCCCAGGCCCAGACAGAGCTGCTCAACCACTTTTCTTCACTGCAAGTTGTGTTTTATGGATCTGACAGTGCCCCTTCACTGCAGCTACAGCCTGTATGGTTCACAGCCTTCTGAGGACACTAACAGTCATTACTTTTATCTCAACTGATGCTAGTGCAGGCCAGCAGAAGTTAACCAAGTGCTTATCAAATTCATATCTCTGGGTATACACAAACCCATGGCAAAAGACAAGAGGTTCATTCTGCCTTTTAACTCCTTTTTGATCTAGAAGAGTGCCTTCATTTAAGGGGCTTTCCCCCTCAATTTATTTACTTATTTGTAATTAATAATAAAAATCATTCTTTTTAAACTTGCATGACCATTAATTTTCTGGATTATTTTTGCTATTTTACATCAGAACATGACAGGTTTGGTTTCATGACCACATATATGAGAACAGTGATTTCTACATTCAGTGTCACGTTTAGTATCACTTTGTTAAATGAATGCAGTTTTATTTTTACACCATCATTTACACATGCTAAAAGAGATCCTCTCTAAAGTAACCTTGTAAGTGAAAGCTAAAATGTTCTTTCCAGAATGGCTTTTGGTATCTTCAATCAAAATGAAAAAAGAAAAAGAGGTTAAAAATACTGTGCAGTTCCAGTTAGTTAAAATCTCAACTGAACAACAGGTTTCTGCATTTTTATGAAAAATTACCATTTGATAATATGCTGAAGTTTTCACAACAATGACAGTAATATTTTAACTTCTGGTATAACTTCTGGTTCAGCTCCATTTAATTGCAAAGGTCAGTGGTACACAGAGGCCAGGTAGGTTAACTACTGAAACACTCTCCTTAGGAGTACCTTTGAATATGAGTGTTGGAAAAATAACCAGAGCCTTTATCTATAACAAAATAATCTTATCTGTGTTGGTTCACTAAATGAAACAGTGAATTTTATTGTAAAAAGCACACTATGCAAATTTTGGGTTCCCCATTTTTTCCTTCCTTCAGCACTGCAGCACATTTAGCACTGCAAGTGCCAGAACATTTCCAGGGAATAAATTCAAGCATCTAATAAAGAGCAGTAAACAGTCAAAGTAAAATTAAAAAAACTGTTGGTATAACAATTGGCAAGTACAACCAGTGGCAAGTACCCAGGAACTTATGGTTTATAATGCACATTCATAATCTTTGTTGATTTTGTAGCAATGGTAGAGATACAGGTGGTTTGGCCAAGTATCTGCTAGTTATTCAAATAGCTACAGGAATGAAAACAAAGCCAAGGGGCAAAACATTTTAAAATTTGATTTTCTTAATAATTGCATTTGTAAGGTTAACTCATGCTGAAGGGTGACTGTGGAAACAGGAGAAAAGTTCTGACTTTGCATCCAGACTACCTGAAAGTCAGACTGGTCCTGATCCTCAGTCAGGGAGAGGGACAAAACTAAAGTCTGAGCATCCTGCACTGCTGTTAGAAGGACAGGTTTTCATTGCCCCTCTGATCTTGCTACCAATGTGTTTCTACCAATGACTGAAGTTTGTTAGTTCTAGTCAGGTCAGCTCTATAAATGCTTCAATGGGAAGAAAAAAGTAGTAAAAATGCTTACTGTAGAGTTATTAATGATTCTGTAAATGAACAAACCACCTCACTGTCACTCCCTTCCCTGACTCTATCCCATTTTTAACTGTCTCATTTCTCCTGCAAGTTAAATCCAGTCAAATGCACAGTTGTGGCACTTGGCAGAGATGATCACAGACCTCTCACATGTCTTGTCTCTACCTGGTGCCTCCACAGCCTGAGACTGATGGGATTTTCCTCATAACATCAGCCTTCCTTTTTCTTGCTGTAGGTAAGGCAGCAACACTAATTTCTGCTGCTTCCAGGCCTGAGGTCAGTGCAGGAGGAGAATGAATGTATTCTGCTAGCCTTTTATAGCAGTCTGGATCACACTGTTCTGCATAAACAGAACAGCTTAGATGAATTTTATGTCAGATATACTTACTCAAAAAGCCTCATAGTCTACTGTAATTCATGAGCCAAAAGAAAAAAAATACAAGAAAGGAAAGGAATCTGTTTGGCTTGATTTGCTGCCCACGTGCAAGCATCTGGTGTGATACAAAATGCCCTCAGGTACCTTCCCAAGTATCCAGCAGCAGGTCCAGAATGTCTTTGATCTCCAGTAGGGTCTCACCCACATCTGGAAGCCCCGTGTGTGGGTCTCAGAAACCCTGGGACTCATCCACCAGAAGACAAAAGGAGACAAGTGGGGGATGAGCTTCAAAATGTTCTTTCAAGTCAGATTTTTAACCTAAGAAGACCTTAGGATATCTCAGACCACACCAGATGCCTGCGTGGGCAACTGAATCAAATTCAGTTGGTTTGGGAAAATGAAAAAAAAAATCTGGTAATATTTTAATAGATGTCCTCAAAGAACCATAAAAGGTAAAAGGACAGGAACTTTTGTAATGCAATAGTAAATTAAAAGGATGACATTAAAAAGAAAAAAAGGAAAAAAAGTATTTCTTTTCAGTTTGAAAGATTCCTTTGAGGGGGAAATAAAAAAAGTATGTAGGACCATGTGCTTTCAAGACAGGCAGCTGTGGCAGTGACATAGTATTCAGCTACTAATATACTTGCAAAGAACTAAAAAGAGGTAGAACTAATCATAAATGCAAATAATATGATACATAATTGGTAAGAATATCCAATTATATTTCAACAACACCATATTTAAAAGTATGAAAGCAAACACCAGACCCACATCTCTCTGAGGTAAAAAAAGGGGAACATTTTAGTCCAGCTACAAGACATTTATCAGCTTAGTCCTCATAAATGTTGTGAATTCTCTCAGTTTATCACCATAAGATTAGAATCAAACCTTAAATTTGATTTTGTTGCGCAGGTCACATCAGAAGATCATAAAAATACTTATAGAATATTTAAGGGAATTCAGTGCATACAGATCCACTGCAGATATTTAGGAATGCTTCTGCTTGCTGGTTCAAACTGGTATGATCACAGGAAGAATTATATTTAGCTTTCTTTATAAAGTCACCATCAATAAGACTCCTAAATACAGGGTTTCTTTTTAAATTTTACTCTGAAATTACATTAGTGAATAAGGCAACATTCCTCAGGATGACATTAGGATATAATTGATTGTTTTTCCAGATTACAAGAGGGACATACCTCATCACAGTAAAGGATAAGCTTTAAAACCAACTGAAAAACTCAGAATTCTCCTAAACGCTTACATGCTTCAGAAAAAAAAAAAAAAGCTATTGTATCTACCTTTAACATGGGTAAGAGGAAAAAAAAAGGCATCTCCTCATGCCAGAAAAATGCAATTCAGAAAATTGCAGAAACTGCATAGCAACCTATCTGGGAAATCCTAGCAATGTGTCCAATCTGTGCTTTGTGTCCATTTCTCATGGCAATCTTTTATCTGGAAACAAAGCCACAATTGCTGGAACAGCTCTGCTTGTATAAAGTAACAGCGTGTCCAATAGGCAACAAAGGCTGGTTCATTTCTCAGAACAAATAACCTGGCTGGCTCCAGATGAGCTTGCTCAAGGAGCAGCAACAGCGCTTCCCTCCCACACAGAGCTGGGTGCTAGCACAGCCCAGACTCCACCGGGATACCCAAGGAAACCTGTCCAGAACATCCAGGGAATGGGCCCAGCCCTGGGCTGGCCTGGATAAACAAATCTAAGGTTCTCATATGTAAGTTCACCTTTGAAGAGCTGACATTCTAAGTTCTTCACACAGGACTGACCAGAGCAGTGGTTTTGCTTACCTTGACAATGACATCCAGCATCAAATATTTCAACTACTACTTACTGTGATAAGCTGATAAATAAGGGAAAGTAAAGTTACAGTTATTATTATTTTTAGGTAGTCAGACACCAAAAAGGATGGTGTATCGTGCTGGTACCCAGAGAGAATATATGAATCACATATGAAGAGAACGAGAATATATGAAGAGAACAGAATATAGCAATTGCCACTAATAAGGAATTATGTCACTCTACCTTATTTTTAAAAACAGACTTAAGCACATCAACAATCAGACAATGAATTTATTTGCAGGATACATTTATCATACAGAGAAAACAATACTTATTGTTTGGTTAATTAAATAGAGAAAATAGCAAAACAAAACCACAATACATTATTCAGTGTTCCATATATTTGTTAGCTGACATTTTCAAAATGAAGCTTTCTTTTTTTGCTGTTTTCTTAAAAAAACCCCATGATCATGAACAATGCATAGTGGGAACAAAGGGTCTAGAAATCTAACATTCCACAGCTGTGAGTCAGTGTGAAAAATAAGGCCATGTAGAGGGAAAAAAACCCCACAGTGAATTTCTAAACAATACATATTCCATTGACAGGCTTCAGATAAGATCAACTGAGTATATGAAATCTGAAAACAATGTTATGTAAGGAAAAGATGAATTAAAAATATTAACAAACAACTTGGAAATAGATTTTCCTAGTGATGGCTTGGAAATAGCCTCCAAACTTTCAACCCAGTATCAATGAAGATAAATTATACTATGATGCTGCAAAAACCATCCCAGGATGAATATCCAGAGGTGAGAAATACCCAAGTCCATTTTACAAAATAAGTTACAACTACCCATGCTACTTATTCAGCACATATTTATCAAAGGAATGACAAAATGTTAAGAAAAAAAGTTTGACCACCAGTCACTGAATGATTCAATGAAGGACTGGAAAACATATCTTCTGCTCTGAAATGTTAATTACAAGTTCTTTTCAGGTTTCATGACAATGTAAATGGAATGAAAGGAATTGCAGTGTCATATCCTGCTCTTTGTTCCTGTCCTTTCACACCAGGTCAGCAGTGTGAAAGTTTCATAAAGCTGCCATGAACTGAAGTCCTTCACTGCCCTTAAACGCTGCCATCTGCTCTTCACATGATGGAGTGGACGAGCCCAAGGACCAGCAGTCACAGAGCTGCTGTTTGCTGGCAGGCCCCCGTGCAATGTTCCCAGATGCTGCATTGATGCAGGGTGTGTATCCCAGGTAACTCAGACACATTAAATAATCAATAGGAATCACATGAAATTCAGGATAAAGACAGTATAAAATATTTGCCGCCTTTGAATCTTACCTATGTTAAGATTCAAGATTGCTTACTCACAAAACTACAAGAACAAAGCTGAGGCAAGACTGGTTGTGGAAATTGGTCTGAATGCAGGTGTACAGAAAACATATTTTACAAATAACTACTTATATCCAGAGTTTAATTCACATATTTTTAAAACAATTAAATACAGACTAGGCTATATAAACCTCTATAGGCCTTCTTCATCTGTCATTAGTCATACCCAGATCTGTATGAAAGCTCTGAATTTGTAAGATATACATAATTTGTTTTTAAAATATTCCTACAGGTCACCCTTTGACATCATGTAAAATGTATGGGAAGCTTTGGGAACGCTAGGATTGCTGATATGCAAAACTGAACAAAACAAATCCTTTTTAAAAGAAAGCTGAAACACCCTGACCGCCGTGGAGAGTTCTATCCTGAAAACTTTATTTCTTCAGTATGCTCTACACAGTGTTGTTCATCCCAGCTCTCCAGAACAGCACAAACAGCAGCAGTAAAGAGTGAAGGCTGACCTTTTTTAGTTGCCCTGAAAAAGCTGTGCATGTTTACTGTACTTGTAGCTGAGGTTTCATAGAAATAAGAAACATGCTTTAAACGTCAACTGAACAAAACTCATGCATCTGTGGTTACCTCCTGTCCCCATCACTTGTATTCTGTAAATAAAGAAGTTAAAAATTGCTTTTGGGAAGAAAATATAAGTTTCTCCTTTCAAATCCAGAGAAAACCATTGAGAGAATTCCCATTGAGAGAGGGGGAAAAGAAAAACAAAAGCCTACATTGCAGGATATGGAGGACTGCTGTAAGCTATCCCTAAAAAAGCACTAATCCATCCTATGGCTATGTATGTATCTGTTATACAAATGTATGTATACACACATTTCCACAAATGTAGAATTATCACATTAACTATTAACATGGTTGTCACAGAAACTATTAACATGGTTGTTTCATTCTAAATAAAAAGGATGAGTTAACAAATTTTCCACTGTGGCTCATAATTTGGGATGACTAATCTGCAAGTTTGTCTATACTTTTTCTACTGAAGCCACTTTTATTTAATTTGTACAGAAGCAAGCTGGTTTTAAATTCCTAAGTTAGCAAAGAGCATGTAACATCCCCCATGCTAAGGAGTTTGCCTTAGTATGACATTTTCATGTCATATCATGCACTACCAGAACATGCTATGTAAATATTTACTGATATAAAAAACAACTTCATTAAAAAAAAGTAGAACAATGATTATAATTATGGAATTCTTCTGGAAATTTTCAAACAAAAGCTAAGTATATAATTTCTGAATATTAGACATTACTTTTTCCATCTGATACAGATTTAAAATGCATAGTATATACATAAATAATAGCAGCCATCCAATCTTTAAGAGTGCTGTGTTTTATAGTCCAGTCAATATGCCCTAAAATTATATTGATGGATTCCGTATTAAAGATTCTGAGGGGCTAATTAGAATAAGATGTAGAAGGATTTAAATTAAAGACTTCCTATTTTTACAAAAACAAAACATACATCTGAAATACTCCAGTAAAAATCCAACACACAAAAATCACTCTGTACTTTTGTGTTTTCTCTTGCTAAATAAATGACCAAAACACAAGAAAAAATCGTCCCAGTAAGTGTATGTATGGCACATGCTTATTAGAATGTAATCCATGTCAGGATTATAGAGAATGAAATGGACCCACTGAACAACTTCTTCTTCAGAGAGTAGTCCAACCTGACTATTACCTTTGTCCACACTAATCTAAGATGTGCTGGGTCACCATTCATACTCAGTTTGCCTATAAGTCTTGATCTAAAGAACCTGTACATACCTAAATCAACCCTTACTCAGTCAAATTTTAGCATGTGGAGAAATGGACTTATGAATTATTTTTAAGCATTTCTAGTACTCTCTCTTCCATACATGATATCTAGGGTCTTTAGAGTGCACTAGGGTGTCTGTTTTGCTAAAGCCATGACCAATGTCTTCTCCACCCTCTTCGTGCTTATGAGGTCAGACACGGACTGAAGTTCTACTCAGTAGAACTGTGGCTTTCACTGACTGTGTAAAGTACACTGGCTTTGTTTGATAAAACTTCATGTTTTGGTAGCACACTAAATAACCAGGAACAGCCTGTCAGCCTCATTATAGCAGATGAAATTTGTCCATGCCAATTCAAAAGCTTTGGGTTTTCCTAAATCTGGTGCCTACATTTCCATGAGAGGCACTATGCTAAAGGATTGTTCCAATCCATTGTAGCCAACATGAATAAATAAATAAATATCAAACCTGACATGTTTTCAAAGTAAATAATCCTGTTTTACTAAACTACATTAAAACTTCTAAGTCCAAATTAATTTTTTGCACTGTAGATTGGATGAGGCAGAGGAAAATGTTATAGAGCCACTGTAAGGAAGAGCTCACATCAGTAAACAGCCACTGAGGTGAGAGAGCAGTCTGGAACAGAGCCTCAGAGCCAGGCCTTGTGCAAGGACCAGGCTGCTCCTGTCCTCCTGCCCACCAAGGGATGGCAGAGTGGCCCATCAAAACTGCTACTCTGAAACCTCTCTGTATTTCCAGGAGTGATGACAAGTTAGAGTTACAGGGTTTTTCAATTATTACAATTACAGTAGTTTGCATTTCTTTTCTTGCACTTTGTTTTACTTTTAATGGTCCCCAAAGGGGCCAGCTCACACTGGACTGAAGGATTCACCCTCTCCTACCAGGACCTGTCCCGATTTGCCTGGGTTGAAATTACTGAAAAGGAGAGGCATAGGCCAGCCACCCCACAGAGGTGAATTTCAAGGGCCCACTCAGCCTGTGGCAGCACTGGAAGGGGATATAAGCTAGCCAACAACAAATAAATAAACACGGTTTCTCACTACTGCTTGCATCATCGTAAGAAAGGAGTGCATCTTAAGTGTGAAAGCTACTGTGCAAAAGTACACATCAGTGGGCAAATGCAAACATCATAGAGTTATGAATCTGTGCAGCAACACCAGGAATTGGGCTCAGCCCCACTTTGAAATTACCCAGGCTTTCACCTCAAGTGCCAAAATAATCTATTTTACCTGGTCCTGGATGTTTCAGTACTCCCTGCAGGCCAGGATCTGTGAGCTTAGGTTGCACTTCAGTTCCTGATGGAAAGGCCATTTCTGTAAAGGAACTCTGGGCTGCAGCAGCTCCTATGGGGAACACTGTATGAGGCAGAAGTTGCAGGGTATTTTTCAAAAATTTTCTATTTCAAATATTTAGGTTCCCAAACCAGAGCATTTTTGTTTAAATATCAGCCTATATTGAGGCAAGGCTCTGACTGAACCTGATTTAGATAAACTAGGCAATATATCACAGGAGGAAAAGACATGAAATATATAATCTTATTGGGTACAAAACATTACAAACCTAAAGAGCTTCAAAGCACGTCAGACATACTTCAGTCAGTAAAACACTGACTGTTCTTCCACTATTCATTTAAGAACAAGGATACGGTCTATATTCATCTCAGAAAGCAAAGCCAAATGTTTAAATAGTTCAAGTCACAATCATATTCTTCCTCTAAATAATTAAGATCTAAGACAAGCTAAATATCTTTGTTTGCTATTTTTGAACAGAATGAATCCTAGCAAAGGAAAATTACCCTTTGAAATACAGAAAACCATCAGTGAGTTACTGTACATATTGCATGCATAGCATCAGAAGATAGACACCATAAAAACAATAGGTTTCACTTTCAACTGTGAACAGGTAGAATACAGTATTATTTTCTGAGTAAAACAGCACAAACATTACATATCACTTAGGAAAACTGTGCACAGCATACTTCAGCACTCAGAAACTATATTTCTGTTATCTTGTAGCTATTGCTGACAAATATTGCCTTTAAAAAATTTCAGCTGCGTCTGATAACATACAACTGAAAGTTTAAGCAACACAAACACGCGGGCTTTGTTGTCCTCCCACATGCTTCATTTTTAGCAGACATTGGCACTTCTCATCTACATCCCAAGGACAACATTCCTCCAGTCATTTTGGCCAGGTGGAAAGGAAAGCCACTAACCCAAATGGCTGCTCTCCCCATTAACACATGGTAAGCATTTACCTAGCTTTTCCCCATTTTGAGACCAGACTTTAGGGCTTCTTCAAATCCAGTTTGGTAGAATACCAGACTAAAAAAACCAAAACTGAAGACTCTATTTCTCAATGAGCATAGTCACTGAAGACTATGCTCATTGAGAAATGATCAGAGCCCACACAGACAATTAGTTAAATTATAAAAAAACCTGGGTTTTTTCCTCCCACTTTACAAATATTTGAGGCAAAGTAATTCCCTTATCTGACATCTGAATTAATGAAGTCTGATTTTTTTTCCTATGCAATCTTAAAATGCAATTTCTCAAAATTAATACAGTGCTTAAAGAGTAAGTAAAAAGGCTCCTACTTTTTCCTATTAGATTTCCCATGACCACAGGCATGGTGTTATAAAGTTTTAAATTAAAACAGCAACCACCAGTTGATTGTTCATTCAGTGTCATATTAAGGGAATTATTTCAATCTCAGTACTGGACAAATTTTAAAAGGTAATGGATTCATTATTTCTGTGTACTTTGAGAACTGATGGAAGAATATCCAATATTCTATCGCGCTGTCACCATCCAAAGTCCCAGTGCGACATTGGCAGCCAAAAGTGCACTACCAGCAAGCAAAATCAAAAAGCCAACAAGCTCTCTGTTTTGTTTTTCTACAATTAGGGAGCTCAATGTGGCTTCCAGGAAGGAATTTAATATCCACTGACCATCCAAAGCAAAGCAGGGTACAGCGTTGATAACTGCCAGTGCTCCTGATAGTGAGATGAGGTACCTGGTTGAATGTAGTTAAGGTTCATTAAAAGTATCTGAGAAAATATTAAAAAAAAGTTTTAAAAAAATATATATGTGTTGTATTTCTAGTATGCAGGAAGATACATACAAAGGTTATTTTTCTAGCTGCCATTCTGTTTCACAGAAATTGTATGAGTAAAATTACTTTTATGCCATAACATACCCACTCAGAACTGCCTTTACAGATTTTTATTTTTTAAGGGCTAAGTTTGGATACCTGCACTCCTCACAACTTTAGTGAAAGCAGGAGGCAGCAAAACCACCGTCTTCTTTGCTTGCCTTGTGTGGTTTTGGAGGAAGGTTATAGCTCTGACGCCATGCCTGGACTAAGAAGGTATTCTAGACCCAAGTATGAAATCATGATTAGGAATATTTTCCAAAACACTCCCTAGTAAATGACTAGAATATCATCAGACATCTGACCTATCTCTCTTGCTTACCTGTTAGCCAGAAAAGCTGAGTGGATTTCTGTACATGTGTGTGCACGTGAGAATGAGGCACGGGTAATTTTCACTGTTGGTTAAAGGCTTGCTAACTGCAGGACCTACCTCCACCCTGAAAGGCCAGGCAAGAAGACACAGTCAGAAAGCAGCTGGGGCAGTGTGAACCTTGATGTGTTCCCAGAAAACAGGAGCTTATGTGGTACCTTTCCTCTGCTTCTATGGACTTGTTACTAAACTGAACTACACAGTTTAGTTATTCTATAGCCACACATAAACATTTCAGTTTCTAAGGCTAAGAGTTCCTAGATTAGATTCCTAGACATTCAAGTCTACTAATCTATATGTATGTGTATATATATAATCTTGTTCATTAATGAGCAAGAGTTAATTGAATTATCCTGTTTTTTGAACAGCTATTTTCTTTACTTTGGAAGAAAAAAAAAACCCACAAAACTACCATATCCTGTTATTTAGTTCAGTATAATAACACAAAAATAATAAAACTCTGATATTGCAAAACTAGCAAGAACATCTCATTTTTCCTGACTTAAATTCAGGCTTACTTTGGCTTTTTTGTCACATCTGTTAAGGCTCACCTTCAAGAGTTAAAAAAAGCACTGACCAAAAATACGCTCTTAAGCACAAGAAAGTAAGAGGTTCATTTTTAGCCTGGCTCATGGACAATAATCAATGCAGAGACAGGATAAAGATGTCAAATCTCTACAGAAATATTTTAGGATATCCTGTCTAAAATGACATCCAACTGAAGTTTTGATAGGTCACTAAATTCTGAACAGTTCCCTTCTTACCTTAAAAGAACAAACACACTTCAAAGGATACTTGCAAAATGTCTCTATCACCACAGGCAGATCGATACTTAGAAAGTTTTGTCGTGGTACAAAACTGCTGAGACTTACTGAAACGAAAATACACAAAGCATGAAAAGTCATTCCAGGATTATAACATTACAAATTTTAGATTATAATTTTTCAGAAAAATCACATGTGAAATGACCCTCTTCCAGGAGAAATAATCAATCTCAATAAGGGTTGGATTGGGTTTTTTTGTTTTTACAAGAGTGCAGCTATTGCATTTCTCTTAAATGTGGCCACTATCACAGTAAAGGCACTACACAAAGCACAACTGGCATTTCAGTAAAACTAGATCTAAAATACATATTTTCAGGGACATCTTTAATCATAAAGACCCCACTGTATGATTCATGTATTTTTCAAAGAAAAGATATTATAGTTACCAGACTTTTTCAACATATGCAGTCCACGTGCATACTGTGGGTGCACATGTGTATTTTCTCTGAAGGCCAGAAAAATTTTCTCTGGCAGTACCTGCAGAAGATCCCCCTAAAGTGAGGCTGAGCTCATGGTGTACAGGAGAGGGAGAGATGGGCAGCAGAATTCTGGAGATCCTCTGAGAAACCAAAGGCTATGAGGGGATGCCGCTGATTATCAGAGATACAACTGGGAAGTTCTTTGAAACATTCTATGTGTTTTCCCAGCAGTTTTCAGTATCAAGGCATTATGGTAAAAAAAATTGTTGAACCACAAAAAAGCCCCAAAGATACAACTTTTTTCCCCTTATACCTATTCTACATACAGAATTACTCAACTAAATGCAATATTTTATTAAAATACTCTTTTAGTCATATTTTAAAAATTACATTGGATAACCAAGCAGACCCTACAGCTTTCTGCAGCTGGATACAGGGGCTTGCCCCAGTGCACGTGCAGGACTTGGAACTTGGTCTTACTGAACCTCATGAGGGTTCTTTTCAAGTTTGTTCAGGTCCCTCTGGATGGCTTCCCATCCTTCAGGTGCGCCAACTGCACCACGCAGCTTGGCATTGTCTGCAGACTTGTGGAAGGTGTACTTGATCCTGCAGTGGGGAGGCCCTGTCCCAGCCCTTGGGTGGAGCTGCCCTATGGGATGTGCTCCCCTGCTTGGGAGGGAAGCTTCCCAGGAGCACCCTGTGTTCCATCCCCACACAGGCCCACCCTGGCTGCCTGCTCATTCCAGGGCCATGAGGTCACACAGCCCCACAGTGCTCCAGAAGCTCTCCATGAGCACCCTGTGTGCCATCCCCGCACAGCCCTGCCCTGGCTGCATGAAGCCATGAGGTCACAGAGCTCCATGGCACTGCACTGGCCATAAGAACCTACTGCTCAGCCCCCACCACCAGCAGCAGCAGCGTGGTGGAAGGGGGACCATGGCCCTTGTTGACCGTGTTTTCCTCTCCCTCTTCATTCTCTTGATGGTCCTGCACTCCGGGGCTGCCAACTATGCTCTACAGAAATCACAGGAAGCAGGTAAGCTGCCAGCACTGGTCCAGCCCTTCATGGGCTTAGGGGTGTCTTCCCACCAATATGTTTTTTCCTCCAGTTCATTAGTGAGGGTTTCCTCTGTGTGAGCACTTTCCTGTTAAGAGAGTCCCAAGTTCATCTCTCCTCCAGGGCTGTTGCACATTGTGCTTGAACAGTGTTGCGCTGCCAGTTCAAAGGTCCCCAGGTCCTCCTCTGGAGCTCTGGCAATCCACTGACATCTGGCTCCCATGCTGTTATCTGACCCCCATCCAGTGCTTCTGTACACAAAAGCAGATCCCAACACACAATGGAAACACCTCTCTGTGCTTGCTTCTAGATGAATCTCTAGCAGATTCTCTGGCAGCTTGGAAGAAAGATGGTTTGGAGTTTTTGGGCGCGCCTGGAGCACGTAAGTTCTCAATGTCCCTTCCTTTGAAAGAATAATTATCACTAATGTGTCAATATCTTACTAATGAGTAATTTTCTTTAAGATGTTAAGGCTGATGGCTTGCAGAAATCTCCAGTGACCAAGCATATGCATGATCCCACAGGTAAATTAGTTGGAAGAAAGTGCATTTACCTTTCCATCTTCCTTCCACATCAAATGCAAGTTGTTCATCCCAAGGCCGATGCCAGCCTCTGGCATGGCAGTTGCTGTCCTATGGTCAGCACAGGATGGCTGTGTGGCAGCAGGCTCTTTCCCCAGTGCCTACTCCTGCATGTCACATCAGCAACTAAGCTGAAAGTGTGTTAGGTTCAAAACATCTGGATCCCATTGCAGAGAAAATGAAAAACAGGAGTCTTGTACAAACATAGTTTCCCCTGCAGCTCCATCCCAGAGCTTGCCCTGAGTACCAAAGCAGAAAAGTAGCCCCAAGCAGGATCATTCTCATGAGTTGAGGTCTATGTTAATGTTCTGACTCGTATATTGGGCAAGGAAGCTAGAGGGAACCTCCCCATCCTCCATGCCTGAGCCATGCTGAGGCTTTACCTGTATCTGCTTTTTGGCAGTGCTGACAAAGTCTGGAGAAAAAAATGCGGATGCGAAAGCTGGTGAATCTCCTCAGGCAGACCCAAAGCACTCAGGTACTGAGCAGTCCTGCTGGGGTCCCTTATGGGGAGACACATCCTGAAACCTGGGAGTGGCTGGAAGGGGTGCACATGCTGGAGAAAAGGCAGACAGGGAGAGCAAGGCTCAAGTGTCTCCTGTGAAGGCCTGACTCCATCCCCTTGGGGTGTGGGAGTTGGCCCAGAGAGGGAGAGCTGCAGGTGGAACTTCCTGATGAGATTTTGCTGAAGAAGTGACTGGCCAAGCAGCAGTGCTCCCCACTGTGCTCTCCTCCTGATCATTTGAGTTCTGTTCAGAGGGACAACCTGTCCCCAAAGGGTGGGACTATGCCTCCAGGACCAGCACTGGGGGGGAAAACAGAACATTCTGATGATATCAAACATGCTTCAAGTTCACAAGTGGTAACCTGGCAGAGGACAGGCTAACACTTTGAATTGCTCTGCAGAAACAACCAAACAAGTTCCTAAGGCCCATGAGCAGACTGAAACTATTTACTGTCAAGGAGCAGGCTGTGTGATAGGCATAGTGATAGTCCTGCTTGCCGTGCTAGCTGGGATACTGATGTGTTCTCTCGCAATCTGCTGGTGGCGTCAGAGAAAACGGTGAGTCATCGATCCCCTCACAGCTCCTGCTTCCTTCAAAGGCAGCTCACAGCCACAAAGCACTTCCAGTCAGGCTGCTGTGCAGCAGCAAGTTAGTGGTTGGTTGAAAAACTCTGCTGAGGCTTTTGCAGCTGTCAGTAGCTTTAACGGGTCTCTTATTTTCTGGGTCTTCTCTTGGGAAGCCTACTTGGACTGGAGCCAGTGTTTGCTCAAACTGAGCCTGCCTGGACAAGAGTAGCTTGACAGGCAGAGGCAAAACAAAGTCAGGATGAGAAAGAGTGGGGGGTAATATTGCTCTAAAAAGCAAGAGATGCATTGGCACCTCCTGCTGACCAGTGAACCTGCCTGGAGGAGTCTCCCTGCCTGGCGGTGCCTCTGCCACAGAGTGCCAGCAGCTCCACTCACAGCAGTGAGCCCTGCCAGCTCTGGGCCTGCTGTGGAGGAGGGTCCCTGCATCTCACCTGCAGCTTAGCCACCTCCTCTCTCCGCAGGCATCTCTCTGGAGACCGGCAGGAATGCACCCACCTGATCACACACTCAGACAGCCAGACCAGTTCACCTGAACCAGCCCTGCAACTGCAGCAGCCCTAAGAAACTCACACATCTGATCCCTGAGCTGTCCCTGTTCCCCTGCCTCTCCTTGGCTGCCCTTAAGCAGCTGTGGGAACTGCTCAGCCCCAGCCACAACGAAAACAGCCCCTCCACCCCCAAACCTGCTGGCCCAGCCCTCTGGACAAAGCTGAAGGTGGGCATGCCAGGGTAGGGGTTGGGCTGACAGAAACACAACCAACAACTTCAGGGATTGGCTTTTTGTCTGAATAAAAGGGACAGTCTTCACACAAGTATTTGTATAGTATCAGAATATCCAGAGTTGGAAGGGACTCACAAGAATCATCAAGTCTAACTCCTGGCCCTGCACAGGACATCCCCAGGAGACACACCATGTGCCTGAGAGCATTGTCCAAATGCTGCCTGAACTCTGTCAAGCTTGGTGTCGTGACTGCTTCCCTGGGGAGCCTGTTCCACTGCTGGACCACCCTCTAGGTGAAGAACCTTTTCCTGATATCTGACCTAAACCTCCCCGGCACAGTTTCAGGCATTTCCTGGGGTCCTGTCAATGGTCACCAGAGTGAAGAGATCAATGCCTGCTCCTCAACTTCCCCTTGTGACGTTGTAGACCATGATGAAGTTTCCTCCAGGCTGATGAAGCCAAGTGACCTCAGCTGCTCCTCAAATTGTTTCCTGTCTAGACCCTTCACCATCTTTGTAGCCCTCCTCTGGATGCACTCTAATGTAGACCCTTCTTTCTTATATTGTGGTGCCCAAAACTGCCCCCAGCACTTGAGGTGAGGCTGCCCCAGTGCAGAGCAGTGGGACAATCCCCTCCCTTGCCCAGCTGTCGATGCTGCCTCTGATGCCCCCAGGACACAGGTGGCCCTCCTGGCTGCCAGGGCACTGCTGGCTCATGTTCAGCTTGCCACTCACCAAGACACTCAGAGGTCTTCCTGCAGGGCTGCTCTCCAGCCTCGCATTACCCAGTTTGTTTGTATGCACAGGTCAAGTGATATCCAAAGCAAATAACTTGTCAAGCTGAAGGCTGGTATCAGAACATCTGATCAAAACTCCTGTTCATGAGCCAAAATAGCAGAATGGCTGAGACAGCCAGTGTATTCAAAGGTTTCAAGAGACACACACTGCAAAACACTGTAGTTTCAAAGCTTGACTGCCTCTTGACAAAAACCTAATGGCCACTACTGTCCTGAACCTGAAATTATGCCTACATTGAGGATGGATCATAGCTCTTCTTCCCTCTTCGTTACAATAAACTGTTGTCACTGACAGCCACTAGACATGGACCTAAACTCCAAACCTTGCTGCTGAAGCAAGCTCCAAACACACAGAAACTCTTCAGGAAATTGCTGGACTGAGCTCTAGACACTGTAATATTAAGCAATGAATTTTGTGGTTGTAATGGGTCAAACACAATGGTAGTAGGCAAATCTGTCCTCTGAAGAATAACAAAAGAATTACAGAAATTGTGCTCTACAGACTTGTCTTCAAAGACACTGCTGGGAAGAGGTGAACAGCAATGAGCTCGGGTGAGAGAAAACAGTCATTGTTTTCCCACTCTAATTAAACAATTCTTTGACCTGGAAATAACATTTCTTTTGTTGGCTCATGCTAAATGGTGCTGGCAAATATTGAGAAAGATTCACAACAGACACAATTTTAATTGGAAGTGACTTGGAGACTAGGTTGACCATAGAGCTTTTCAGAACTTCTTCATGGGGGAAAGGGCATGTATGCCATGGAGGAGACAGACAGCATGGCATGAGATATTTCTGTGTGGTCTCCTGAAGAGCTACATGTGTGTAATCCTTTAAACCTGGGTTAAAAGCAATGAAGGACCATCCTCAGTTATAAGGGTAAACAAGCATGGAAATACTGAGAGAACAGGCTGTACCAGAAAGACCTTCACCATGGATTATGGCTGTTGCTGCTCATAAACATGCCCAAAGCCAGGAAGTGCCTTTTTTTTTATTTTAAAAGACTTGGATACAACACAAGTAGAAGACTGGTCAAGCTTGAGGAAATGATCTCTAGGTAAGTTTCATCTTCTTTTTGTGAAGAAAATCTTACAGTTTTTGGTCTGTGATGGGTAAGAGTAACATTTAGGGATAGGATATTTCCTCAAGTAGTGTGAATTCCAAATACAAATCCTAGTTACCAGATTCTTCCCAACCAACAAGGGCCAGAGAAGGAAGCAAAAATATTGCAGTATTAGAAATGACATGAGGGAATAAAACCCCTCATACAAAATAAAGAAGAAATGCTGCAAATTTGCATGTCAGTACTGACAGGGCCCTCCATTTCAACCTTATTGTCCAACAGTGGAAGGGACTCTAGAACATAACTGGCCTGCAATAGGAAGAGTTTAAAAGACTTAATACCATGTGTATTGAACCAACAGTCTGAATTCATACTGGATAACATTAGATACTTTTTACAGAAAGAATACTAATTAGAAGCATTAATGTGTCTGTCCCAAACAACATGCACTCCTAATCATCCTTCTGTTTTGAGTCTTGGTCAAATCTCCATCCCTGTAAGTTCATTTAGGATTATAATTCTTTAAAGTTTTGCTATTTTTAAATACTGGAAAAACATGGTATATATAGCTTCCATATCAACAACAATATTTTTGCTACGATATTTTAATTTGAGGCAACAGAAAGATTTAATAGAAATAAGCTGTAGATACTATTTCTTCTAAGCAGCTAACATAGATATACTTTTTTAAAAAAATATGTAATCTGGAAGTTATCTTCAAATGAAAATATGAAATAATTACTGCTTTTCCATAAATCAGGACTACCATGACAACAATACCAGCCTAAGCAGAAAATAATGCATGCATAATTTTAGAATGTTATTCAAACATTGCTTTAGTGACATTTCTTGAGAAAGTATATTCATACACACCAGTACTACAACTCCCATATTATGTTGTGCGTTCAAAATAGTACCACTATAAAAAGTAATGTTTCCTGCAGGCAGAAAAATCACACTGAAGAACAAGGCATTTCATTAAACCATATTCCTATTTCAAAGCTCACACAGTAGAGGAAGAAATTATTTTCTGTTTTTAACTGCAAAAAAACAGTTACCACATTCTGATCAGTCACATTTGGGGAAAAAAAGCCAAAACCACACCAAACCTGTTGGCCCCAGCCAGTTCTGTACAGTGCAATGCTAAGCCTGAAGTATTTAGAAGTTGTTTCGCTGGAATGAAACTCTACAATGGCAGATTCTCTACAGCAGATTGCCTGCTACCCAAGCCAGCATCCTATCATTTTGGTCTGGTGTTTTTCCAAGGGGAATATAAGAGCATAGATTACATTTGCAGCAAAGTTGGTAATAAAATTAAACTTCTAGCTTTCAAATGAGTACATTCAGTGCACAATTCCAAGAGTAAATCACTTTAAAATTCTACTCCTACATGTGTATGCAAACAGTATTTTTACAAAATAACTTCTTGAAGAAGAACTACCTCTTTAAAGCAATAACATTCTTTTCTGATTTCTGAAAGACTGGCAGGTTCAATACTTCTGCAGAATTACTACAGTGGGAAACACCAATGAAAACTCCATTGCTCCAATGCATTGAAAAGGGAACAACATCAATTGTTCTTCAGTACCAACAGTTTGTATTGTTAAAGACCACGAAAAGAAATTCTGAATAATTATAAAACTCTATTCTTAAAATATGTTGCTGCATTTGAAATAAATATCATCAGATACAGTAGTGTGTTTTGGTAACACACAAGTGAAAAATGTTTTCCTCTTAAATGGCATAAGGCCAGAAGTAACAAATGAAGAGATGATATTTTGGGCTTAAATTAGAGTATATTATAAAAAAAAGTTGAAATAAGTAACTCCTCACAGAGTATCAAATTACCAGTATGGAAAAATAAAGACTGATCGATTTACTGAAAATATGGTATCCAAGAATGTTAACGGATTTATACCACCAGATTTCATCACTGTTTCTAAAACTCTTTTGTACCTAATTCCAGTGCTTATTCAAAAAAGTACAATGCCTTCCTAAGGAGATACTTCCAAGGTAGTACTTACAAAATCACCCCAACAGTTTCAGCTGTCTGTGAGGAACAATACCCTCCTCACAGGAAGGGATAGTAATTTAACACTTCAAATTTCTTAAAGCCCATCTGCAGCTGATTTTCACAATCCCACTCAAGTTATCAAGTAGGATGTTGAAGAATTTGTTCATTCTTTCCATACTCACTTCAGAAGCAGAATTACTTTTTATTTATATAAGATGCTCAAAGGAGAGTCACAGTGAACTTCAAAGAAAGGAACTAAAATTTTATATGTTACTTAATTTAGGGCAGTCAAATGAAAAAATAAATCAGGAAAAAACTACGTTGTGATAACACTTGTGGCTTAGTAGTCATGGGAATCTGTCACAGATACTTGGATATTAGGTGTGATTTAAGCAGTCATGCTAATATTCCAGGCAAGGTGCTGGAGCAAGGTGCCCTAGAGATTTTACAATAGCATTTTGAGACATTTATGTGCTAGGAAAATGCAGACACCTGGTTCCTATGACTAACCTGAATAAGATCTGTTCCAGAAATAGCCCTTTCATAGTCTTCTGAAAAAACAACTATCTCATATCACATATGGTTTCTATTACCTTCATAACTCATTGCACTCTGAACATTTTATTTTAGTAGTCCATATCTCTCCACTGGCTGTAACAAGAAATGGATTCTGCTTTAAACAAATTAACTAAGAAGCACTCCAAAACCTTGTTTAAGCAGGAAGGCAAAGGAAACCATATTAGAGATTGCTTTTGCTAAACTTTAAATAAATAATACCAACCTGTGTACTGAAGATGCATGGGGTGTCCCACATAGAGCATGTCAATATGGGGTGGATGCTTTACCCTGATTAGCCTTGTTTGGTTCTCCAAAGAAGGAGTCACACAAAAGCTTGGAACGAAGTCCTTATGGCAGTCCATGTTGGATCGACAAACTTTGCTGGCTTCAATAACTTTTCGTGCTGGCAGACAGGCATACTGCAAAGGGCATTTAAAATCATCATGAAAGGTAAAGGTAAGCTATTTTCCAGCAGACCAAAATAAAAGGAACAAAAGATTCCTTTTTAAACAAAGAAATGCCTCACTGATATAAGCCCATGAAGAGCTAAAATCTGATTTTTTCCCCTAATTTTTTGTTGCCAAATCCTGACGAAACTCTACCTGATGCATATTCAACCTGTCATTCCATATTTTGTAGTGTGGAAGAGAGGGTATGTACGTATACCAAAATAAAAGCAAACTATTTCTAGCAAAGTACACATATGCACAACAGAAAATCATAGGTCAGTGATTTCTAGTTGACAGAGCCTGTATCAACATCCTAGTGACTTACCTGTTCAAGATGAAGTTTTAGCAAGTAAACCAACAAACCTACCTGGTGTGTGGTAGCTAAGAAATTGTTCTCAACTCAGATGAACACAGGACTCAATGCACTGCTGTGCCCCAGCTCCTGTCTATAGCACTCTTCCACTCTCTGACAGACCAGACCTTTCTTGCTCCCCATGGGCCAAAGACAGTACAGCAGAAGGGAACAGGAAATTAGTTTTCCCCTTCATGTCTCTCAGAAAATCTCAGTGACACTTTTCCTTTTGTTCTAAAAATAGAAGCAAGGAATCATAATCTACTATTTGCCCTAGGAGGAAAAGCAAAAGTAATTTCTACCTTCTCAGCCTGATCATTGCATTTCCCATAATGCATGAGTGTCAGACCCTCACCATTAGCCTTGATACAAATTCCTTCTACTCTGAGGGAGAAGACACTCTTTCAAAAACTGCTGCATAGCACTGCAAAGACCATTTTAAAAAAATGTTCAAAACTCACAGCCAGTCTAAGGACACTTGAAAGTCACAAGGTCTCAAGCTTCCTGATTATTTAGCAACTACAAGCTTAAGAATGCCCAGGCTCAATGGGATAGTGATTTATCAAATCTTGCTGGCACTGCCATATTTCAAATGAACCACTGGAATGTGTTCAGCTCTTAGTGGTTAAATATCCTGGAGTGAGAAGTTTACCACTATAGAAACTGTAAACATAGCAGATTTGGAAAAAAATATTTGAATTACTTCTGGTATTTATCACTAGAGTCAGAAAAATAATAAACTGCCATGTGTAGAAAAGTTTACATAGTTCATTAGTGTGTTCTTCTGCTTGTAAAGAACCAACAGAAATACTCCATCACTGTCAGTATGGAACACATATTTTAAAAAACACTGATATTTTGTAGTGTGGAAGAGAGGGTATGTACGTATACCAAAATAAAAGCAAACTATTTCTAGCAAAGTACACATATGCATAACAGAAAATCATGGCATCTAGACATAGGTCAGTGATTTCTAGTGCCAGTTTGCTCAGAGTTCCATCCAGCCTAGCCTTGAACATTTCCAGGGACAGGGCATTCACAGCTCCTCTGGGCAACCTGTGCCAGTGGCTCAGCATCCTCACAGTAAAGAATTTCTTCCTAATGTCTAAATTACACCTGCCCTCTTTCAGTTTAAAGCCATTCCCTCTTGTCCTATCATTATATGACCCTGTGAAAAGTCTCTCCCTAGCTTTCTTGTAGCCCCTTTAGGCACTGGAATGCCGCTAAACCCTTTTCTAAGGGAGTAAGGCAAAATACTACTGAGAAACTTTGTTTCTATGTGACAAGAAAATCAACATAGTGAAAAAGATTCAAGAATGGGCCCTTATTTTGAGAAACTGGGCAATCTCTAGGACCTTCTCCTGCATATTTTCATTTAAATTTAGGGAGCAACACTGCTGGCTTCAGACAAAATAACTGAACGGACAGTTCAGGGCTTTGCTTTCCCTGTAGTGCTGAATACTTTAGAAGACCGAAACACCGAAATAAGAAATTTCAGCTTCTTCTCAAAAGCTGTTTTTTCTCACCAGTACTGTGCATCCAGAATACTGAAAATGACTGAGGTATCTTTCTGCCTAAAGGAATGAGGTGTCTAAGATTTTTTATGATTCTTCCAGTGACTCCCTGTAATAAAGAGACCTTTATTACAAACTGTAGATATTCTTAAACACTTGAGTATGCTGTATAGGTGTGGGCATGTGTATACATATATATAGTATGTGTAGGTGTGGGTAAATAGTACTAATTTAATTTAAAAAAAATTAGATTTACCAAAGAGAGTTATCAGTTTAAGTAACTTACCAGATGGCTGTCCAACTTATTGCTGTATGAAAAGCAAATGTCTGTGAGGCTGTTGTTACTACAACATTCAACTGTGCCATCAAGCCTTCTGTAAACTAAAGAACATAGGCATAGAGCAAATAATCAATATTATTTGCTGAAAAAATTAGTCTCTGAATGAAGTAAAACTATTATTACTATTATTAATTATCCTGCAGCCTTCAAGAATTACACTAATTCACAGTCTAGCTGAGGCTCAGTCACAACTACAAGTAAAGCTTCACCGCCACCATGTGAATGTCCCATGATTTCAGTCACATCACATACTGATTTTTTCACCTTTATAAATCTTCTTGAGATACTGGGGATCTACCACTGCATTATTTTGAGTACTACAAGTTGCAAAACACTTTTATATCCATTGCCCCTAACTTGCACTAATATTTGGCATAAAAATTTGTTAGCTACTACTGTACTGCTTTCACTGGCTGGCTATGGAAATGGCCAAGACTCAAAACATACTTTTCACATCATGAAAGCCTTCCAAGCCTTGAAGGCTGCAGCGGTGGACAAATGATGTTTTAAACCACGATTTAACTAGTCTGGTAAAGAACCTTTGTACATATGCTATTGATATGAATTAAGCCTAACTTGCTGTGCAGCTTAAACACACACAGATGCAGAAGAATGGTCATGGTAAGGATCTGTACCACAGCAACTGCAGTCCCTTCCCAGGCAGATCAAACCTGTGATACTGGCTGCTGATTTATCACTGCGCAACCTGCAATCCACTGCCATGCAGCTTTATGCCTGGGGCTTACAGGTGCAAGCACTGTACCGTACAAACCTTTTTTCAAGTACCCTGAGGCTAAGAAACCACATATATTTTTGAATAGCAAATGACCATGAAATTAGTATTCTTATAAACTACATTGAAACCACTTTTTTTTTTTAATTTCAAAAAGTTCCTTAGGGCATTGTTTTCTCTCTAGCTTCAATACTCAGATAGTTCACTCTCCATTTGTTTTATAGTCAACTAGATGGAGTCCATTTGCTATACACATTTTTATCAATACTCTGTATTTATGTCAAGTTCTGAACTGTCAAGATTTTGATAAATGACAGCTGCTCAAGACCAAACAGAGTTCATTTAATTTCAGAGGAATATTTCTCACTGCTGGAGGCTTATGACTCCGAAAATGCAGACAGACTGGTCTGATTAGAAGGCAGCAATGGGGACAATGGGCAGCTAACACAATACAGCAACCAGGCTTGGAAGCAATATTGAATCTCCAGCACTAAGCCTCTAGTATTCCAATCTAAATAGACTAGTTCATCTGCAAAATATGCAGTTTTATTACCCATGACTCCAAAATTGCACTTCAGAGGACAGCAGAATCTGAGGATATATATACCTACATCTGAGAATTGGTTCTTGCCATCCCTGCCCAGCTGAAAGCACGGGCCAAAGTTGCACTCCTCTTCAGAGGCATAATCCAAACTGTCAGACCTCTAAAAGCAGGTTCTTACGCATACTCCACTAGTTTCCAGTTTAAATATTTATCTCAGTACCAGCTATAACATCACTTTCTTTACATAATAAAAAAAAGAAAAACCCACTTTTTCAGCCTCGTGAAAGTTCTATAGTGCATCAAAACCAGGGACACTCGAGTTGCCAACCTCCTGTTTATTTCCAGTATGATGGAAAAATGCAGTGATAATTTTAAAGCTCTGAGTAGTATCCTACAAGCTTTTCTCAGCAGCAGCCCCTCACCTCTGGAATTCAGTTTCCATGAATTCTTGCATGAAAGAAACTTTAGAGAGCTTCAGGGCACGTCACAAGATGCTCAGCTAATTTAACTTGACTGCTCTTTTTTGTTCTACTCAATTTTTGTTTATTGTTCTAGTTTAGTTCAGTTCAGTTTTTTTTTTTTTTTGGTTTCTTGGGGATAAGCCCTTAGAGCAACAAGCACTCTAATGTATAAAAGGAAACAGAAGGAAGTAGACTGACTTCCAGAAGCAGTATGTGCAATCCAGACAAAACTGAGTTTATGGGCAATGATGTAAAACCCTAAAGGGAGACACATCTGAAGAAGTGACCATAATAAAGCATATCATTGGGTTAAATCATATAATTTGCAATGTCACGCTGATCAAAGCTGTGAGGTAATGTGAAATTTACATCTGCCAAAGACCACTAAGTTGATGCATTTTACAGAACTTAAAATAGAGGAGATAATTGTACTACTGCTAAGAACCAAGTTCCGCAATATCCTGAAGAAGCAAATTTTATTATTCAGATCATACAGGATATTTGTACAGGATGACTGAAAGACAAGTGAAATTCCTGTATCTAGCCCTCCCTCCCTTTCAGATTTCACAAAACAGCATGGCACATTGGTAATTGCTTAAGACAGGACAGCAGATTTGAATTACAAGAAATTTGACCCCAACAACAAATTCTAAATCCAAAATAGTCTTTAAGACATGATTAAATTAAAATATAAATGAATTAACATACAAAATAATGAGGAGAGCACCTTAAGTCATACCTCTAGCTGGAAAGCTTAACTGCTGTAGGGTGGCTGCACTTACACAGTAGCCGACCTGTGACTTCTCTGCAATGTCTCCCAGACAGGAATTCCAGTCTTCCACATTATAAACTGGGCAGTCTTGTAGGTTAGTGACAAGGTCTCCCACAAAAAGACCTCTAGGTCCATTGGCAGGAGAATCCTGAGAAGAGCAGTGAAGTCAGTCATATTACTATAGGAGGATAAACAAGGATTAGTTTACAGTTCACGGAATACTATGAAATCTTTAGGTTAAGACACTACAAAATGGGGAGGAAGGGGAGGGAAAGGGAAGTCTTCAAGTATCCTGGACACATCTTCAAATTTGAGTAATTATTTTCATATAGGTCAAAATGGTAAGAAAACCCACAACACATTAAGTTCAAGTAACTTAAATTAATACTCTGAACTTTTCAAGAAAGCAGGTGTACCTATATTTTCAAAGGTAATAAAGCATTATAAATGTCACTTTCTCCTGAGTTTTATCAATTGACTTTTAGGTCCAAGAAAAACTGGATCCTTTCAGCTCTGCTGTTCAACTGTGCTGTATTTGATTAAGTCAGAAAAAAAATCATTCCTTTCCAGAATCCCAGAAGTCTATCTCTGTTTCGCTTCCAGCTGACCAAACAAGGAAATCAGCTCAAAATAATCTTTAACATTGAAAACCGATAGCAGTAACTGGAGTGATAATACAGTTTCCAGCAGATTTGCTTTGTGCCAATACTGAAAAACAGTTAAAAACAGAAATAAACCTGCAAACTCATCTCAAATGTCTCAACAGTTTTATAGTATGCTAATTAGTCTATCATTATTCACACTGTGTTCCTTTGTTTACTAATACTATGATACATGAGACTGAAAGGAAAACTTCAAACAAGAAGTTCAGTATATTAGATTCTGCAAAGGGCTGCACTGACAAAATCTGATTGTGATAATATGATATACAGGTACATTTCAGACCACAAAGCATATAATATAGAAACAGCAAATATCCTTCTTACCTCTGCAACCTCAGTGACAAGTGCCCCAACACCCGTGTAATAGAAAGGGAAAAGAATGGCTGGCAGCAGAAACAACACCATGAAACTGGCAACACCAAGAACAAAATTATGCCACACCCCTAAAAAGAAGGCAAAAGAAGTTTCTAAATTAACACTAATAACAAAAAGTTGTTTTTTAAATGATCCTACAGCTGCCTTCTCATCAACTTTCCTGAAATTATTACTGCAAGAATAAATGAAAAGTTAATTTGTGAACACAGGCATAGAAGAAGAGTACATAGATTACAAACTTTAGCTTCTAGGATGCCACTTTGTACGGGAATTTTAGAGAACCTCTAAGCCCCTGAGAATTATACTAGCAAAAAAGACAGGAGAGCAGTAGTCCATTTCTAAGGTGTCATTCTACCTTAATCTACAGATTAAGATTTCATGTACACTACTTTTCTAAGAATGAGAGGGTAGTGTAACCAGAAGAGAAACTGGGCTTCTGAATCAATTATTAAAATACAGTTTCTAGCTAAAGAGTCGTCTTCAATCATAAATATTAAAAAAAAAAAAAAAACCAAAAAAACAGTGGAATGAAATATATTACGTATTACCTTCTACCAAAATAAACTGTTGAAATTAAGAATCTCAATAAATGGGCTTATTTTTGAATAAATACTGTATGTCCTAGAGAGCAAGATGTCTGAAATTTACTTGCAATTCAGTATTTGTGATGGTAACCTACATAATTTAAATTAAAATTATTACATGTATATGTGCCAAACAAATTTAGGAAATTATTTGAAAAAAAAGGTTTCTTCTACAAGAAAATATGGACCTAAAACTCCATCAAGAAATAAATTGTACAATCAGCACTTCCTGACATGTTGTTTTGGGGAACATATTTGCAATTGCCATCTTTATAGTATGTGTTTCTCCATAAGAAGCAATGAGCCACTATCATAAGACACAGCTGGTGTTCATCATCAAAGCTTTGAGGCTTTCCACATTCAGCACTACACAAATTTTCTCATTTAGTTTGTGTTCCCAGACAAACAGTTTTGTATGAACAATGCAGGAAAGCATTTCAGTGTTGGAGAGTCTTCATTTCCTTCTAACAGTGCTTCGTTCTGTTGTGAGCAGTTTGATTCAATTCTATACTTACAGTGCAGTTACAGCACAGGAATTCAATTAAATATATTTACAAATGTATTAAACATATCTTTCCTGCAGTGTATATAACACAGAAATCATAGCATATGGCAGACTTATCTCCCATATCTCCACATCTCACCTCATCTTTCACACTTCTAATGCTGCAGAAATGAGAGACATTTTTGGAGTCCTTGAAGTAAATTGCCATTTCCACTGGTACATGCTTCTTAAAGTAATTTTTTTCTGTAGTTTTAATTGTATCTCATGGAAAGGCACTCAGATAGAGGAAATGTTTTTGTAATCAGTTCTCCTTATCTCACATACACACATCTATTTGCAACAAATCCAGAAGTAGTGAGCAAATATTTTAACTTTATTGTTTTAACCTTTTCATCTAAAAAATATTTTTTCAGCTTAACAGCTTAACAAAAGACAAAAATGTAAAATGGAAACAAAATTCTTTTCAACAGTGTGGCTGCTACACAGAGTAAACTGAAAAAAATCCCAACCCTTAAAATAATAATAATAAAAAAGAGGTGATGGTACTGCTCAAGAGTGACAAGGAATACTTTCAAACAGCTAGATAAAAAAAGGGCCTTGCTACCAAAATTGACACCATTTGCTGTGTGGAACACAGCAGGAAGTCTAAAATAGAATGGTTTCAAACTCATCCAAGGTGATCCACAGAAAAATAAACATGCTCCAAAACAGAATACATGCAGAGGCACACTGCTCAGTCTGCCTTCAACTTCATCTTGCTGAAACAGCCTCATCCTTGGACACCTAACTCCTTACATTTGAGAAGATACACTTTACACAACCCTAAAACACCTTCAAATAATTTAACTACTAATTAATTAAAAAAGAAAACCAAAAACATTTAACTCCTGTTAAAGACAAGATGAAATGTATTAAAAATTATCTCAGAAAGTAATACAAATATTTGAACTAATTACAAGAAGGTGCTGCACAGAATCCCTTTTCATCTATCTAATAGGCCTGGAATTATGCTATAAATATCACAAGTTTTACAAGAACACTCATTTCCTATTCTTGAACGTATGATGCCATCTGCTGTACAAAAAAGATATTTTTTAATCTCCAGACTATAGCTGGACTACAAAAAGAATATTTGGTATTGGCCTCTAGTCTAGCTCTGTTACTTAGCTGCCATACAAAACTGAGAGCATGTCTCCCAAAATTCAAATTTCTGAACACCAGGAATAGGTTCATTCAGCTGTTCTGACAAATATAAGAAATTGGTTGTTTACTGAATGTTGCATTTTATCATTATCAAACATCCTAGTTTTGAAACGTATCTATCATAAACTGTGAAAAAATGCATTTATTTGTTATACCTAACTGAAAGCAAGCCATTCACGCTGACCAATCTTGCAACATGTTTGCTCCTGCCTTGTAATCCCCTATCTCAGGTTTCCTGAGAAACATGAAAAATTATTACAGATGTTTGCTTGTCATCAAAATATGCAAGCAATTATTTTCTATTACAGCTCAGAATTCTATTTTCCTAGGTAATGTCTCAGAAATCTACGTAAGCAAACTATTTTGAAATTCAGTATGCCTTTTCTTTCAGTTCTCTTCCCAGTAGATGGAAATGGAAACAGATTAATTTGAGAAACAGGGCTTCCTAAAAGTTAGCCTATTGTAGTGAATGATTTTTGTTGATTTGGGTATTTGGAATACAGCTATATTTACTTACCTAACATTTGTAATTATTTACTTGATTTAAGAAAGCTTGAAAAGGTGCTTGCTAAAGGCTTCTGTATGTTCACCCTCTATATGATGTTTTAGATACAATATTCAAGAAACAACATTAATAACTAAATATTACAACAGGCTGGCTGCTAGCATGCAACAGATAAAACACCAGTATCAAGAACTGAACCAAGATGATAACTTTTCTATCTCTATTTCAGTTCTTTGGGAGCCACCTTGTCTCTAGAAATAATCATACAAGTGGCAGAACAGAACAGTGTTCAGGCAGAACAACACAGTCTCAGTTTGACTTTTCACAGCAATCAGGCTCTACTTCCCAGTAGCCAGAGACTTCAAAAAAACATCAATTCAAAAACATCTGGAGGTTATCTGGAGCCATAAGGTACAACTCTCTTTGGATGTTTGTGTTTTAACCTTTATTTCCTCCTGATGGCAACATCAAAACACAGTGACCTGAACAATAACACAACTCACAGGTCAGTGAAAATCACTCACAATACTATTGAAAAAGAGATTGCTCCTATTGCAGAAAACAGTAGTGAATTGTTCAAGGATGTTGACCTGTGTTGACAGGAAATCATTTTTCTCATAGCACCATCCTGGCTCAGTATTTCCCAGCTTGTGTGCTCCAAGGTTTTGCTACTTAGGCCCTAAAATGTGCAGAAACATCCCAAACAACAAACAAAAAAGACAGAGGAACTTCTGCACCTAGTGCAAAAGCTCTTTCTAATGAGAGGAACATCAAAAACCACAGTTTTTCCCCAAACACACAACTGGAATTTCTTATGCATGACTATTCTGATTGGATCTAGAATAGAATAATGTTTCTCAAGACAGGAAATTAGCACTCATTTACTATCCTAGAAACTGAAATCTCTAGCCCAGAAAGCAGCTCAATAAGGACAGTAATGATCAAATAATTCTCTGAGATGCCAATACAGGTTCAGAACAGAAGGATCACTGTCAGGTAAAGAGAAGCTTTGGTACTTATTCATTCTAAACCTTACATACTCAATCAAAGATTCACAATGATGCCTTGGAATGGTGCTAAGCAAAGATTTAGTAAAAAACCACCAACTATTACCTGCACAAAATATCCTTAACTGCTGAACAGGAGATATCAACTGCAAGTGAGTTGTGAAGAGGTCAACAAATGCTCCAGGATAGACAATGAAGATAAAAATTCCAAATCCATTAAATCGTACTTGTTCTCTTAAAAAGAAGAAAAGAAAAGTGAAGTGGAGTAACTGCAAACAAACAAAAGAAAAACTAAGAGATTCTACAAAGCACACAGTTTTTGACAACAAGAATGACTAAATTTTAATTATAAAACTACATTATTTTTTATACTATCAGCAATTGAAAGATAATTAAACCAAAGGATGTTTTCTGCAGCAGTTGCCACTTCTAAGCACTATACATTTTTAAGTTTGGTAAAAACATAAAGGGTACATTCAGCTTCTTTTCTGCCTCCTGGTAACAGTGACACATAAAATACTTTTTAAAAACCTATGTAACTTCCATGTTAACATATATTTCAACATTTGGAGTAATTGTTCTTTTAAGTAAAAAAATGGCAGCCTGTAGGAAGCAGTTTCAAACTCATCTATGTAAAAATATTTACAAGAATCGATTGCTTTCCTTTTAAAGAAATACTTCCACAGTTCCAGAATTTTTAATTCTGTTTCTCCTAAATGGAGCTTAGAGTACTTTGTAAACTAACAAAAATGAGGGAAATTCATCTGAAAAAATGAAAACAAGTCAAGAGGTTAAAAGGACAAATGCTAATGCCCTTCCAAACCTTAACAGTCCATGATTCTATTTAAATATATTAGTAGCTGACACTATTATACAGATAATATTTTTTTCCAAGGGTTTTGCAATTACTTTCAAATGGAATTTTTTGGAATGAACACATCATGATTTTTTGAAGCTAGAAATTGTACAAGGGACTTAAGAGAGGCATGGCAAAATCATGTTCCAAGACAAACCAGGCACAGACCAGCTAATCCCGTATCTTTACTGAGACAATATACTGGGTCTAACCTTTGCCTTATTTACATTTATCTACTTAATGTGCATATACACCAAAAGAAGACAAAGAATTATACAAAATTATTCAGAATTACGTCTCACACTAATACTGTGGAGTTAACTCATCCCATGCTACCAATTAATAATAGGCAGTTTAATGTCTATTCAGGATTTCCTGACTTGGGTAGAGGATACACAGGGAGGAAGAAAAAGACTTGTTTGGTACAAGCCTTGAATAAGCTAAGGCTCAAATATTTAAGCTCTTATAGTTCACAGCTAATGCTTTCTAGAACTGAAGTTAGCAAAAGTGTATCAGATTTCAGGAATGCTAAGTGACTTGCCAGAATAATAAATTTTCCCCACAGCACAGCTTTTTAGTGAAGTTGAAACCCTGAGAATTTACAGTAATAGCACTACAGACCCAACATGTGCCAAAAGGAGAGTAAAAAAGCCAAGCAGAAAACAGCAGCAGCCACGTTGGCTGCCAATGTACATTGGACCAACCAATTTCTCCTCTGGAAATACATGGAAAAATAATTTTTTGATGAAAATATAACCAAAAATTAAATATTCAAAGCCTTTCCTCTAGACCTTGAATAAAGATATCACACCATTAAGATACAAGGATTATTCTTCCTTTCTGCTTAAAAAGAGCTCTGTAGTAACTCCAAGCTTCTCTGCAGTCTGCCAGCAACATGCAGTAGAAAGAAAATTTTGTTGTTTCTTCCTGTGATGGGATAAGCAAAAGGTTCATCCTCCACAGAAAATTCCCTGTGAATATTTGAGGGAAGAAAGCTGAAAGACAAGCAGAGGGTCTGAAACACAGAGGGTCCCAAACTAACCCTTTGAGTGAGAACCTTTGGGGTTACAAAAAAAGTAGTCTATGGGTTAAAATGCAGTTATGACTCCCTACACTCAGGAAAATCAGAGAAACAACTTAGGGCTTTATGCTCAAAGAAGAGATAATGATGCTGCCCAGGAGAAATGTGGAGGACACCTGATCATCAGTCCCAGTAATCACTGCTTAACCTTCTTATGCTAAAGTGGCATTTAACAGTAATGACTAACCTGTCAAATAATTTTTGTGAAGTAATCATCATAGTTAAGGACATTAAAAATATACTTTTTGATCAAAGCAAATAAATCACTGAGGTTAACAGGGACAAATCACATCTGACCAAGTTATTGCTTCAACCTGTTCATATCCTATTTCATGAGCTATATTTAAACAAATCAATTAAAAATCTATTTTAAAATATCACCGTGCAATAGCACATGAGTTCAAGTGCCACAAGCACAGAAATGAAACTGCTGTGTAAAAAACAGGCCCACTTAAAAAAAAAAAAAAACTGTTTTAAACCTGATGCTATATTTGCAAAGCCAAAGTCCCTTTGCATGATCTGTATAATAGACACTGTATTAAAACTGTATCCCTAATTGTACACCCTTCCAAACTTCAAATCTAAGGAAGCTATGAATTACAGACTAAACAGACTCTCTAGATAAAACAAAGCAGTGCTAACAACATTCACGGCTACGTAACTGCTCTGGAATATTTGGCTTTGTTGTCAGAGTAGCAGAAAAGCAGAACAGAAATTACCGAATAGCTGCCACCCCATGGCCGACTTCATGTATCACACCGCTGATGAGGATTGCAGAGAAGAAATAGGTCAGCTGGCTGATGGGCAAATTGACACCAGGCACCTGTTGATGTGGGCATGACAACAAAACAAAACACAGGAGGAAAACAAGAGGTACAAAGACAAATCATTCTGCTCCTAAATTTGCTGCTCTCACTTCTTCAGATCCATGACAGACCAGAGGCTGTTATCAATGCAGCGCGATCAGTTTGCACCTCTTTTACCAACTTATTCAGGGTATTTTGAAGTATATTAAAAGCCCTCTCCCTGCCCTATATATTCCCCACAGCTCTGACCAAACGTGTTCTAACCTATATTAAGAGAAGTTTATAAAAATGTACACAGACTTCCATTCAAATGAAACAGGCTTGACAGTGTGAGCATTAGTTTACAATTTCCTGCAGCCAGTCATGTAACTATAAAAATGATCCACCTTTCAAAAGAAAATAATAAAAATTGTATGGCACTTTCAAAAGTATGAACATGGAAAGTTCAAAAATGAGTTGACAGCTAAACAGGCAGTCTCTCCGTTCTCTCTTCCTATACAAATCACAAAATTATCCCAGTTTACAGGGTCAAAAAAAAAAAATTCATCTATTCTTCACGCTCTGGTAGTCTACACATGGCAATTTAACCTTAAAAAAACCCCACCTTGAAATGAGTATACTATTTTAATTTACCTAAGACATAATACGTAGGGCCCGCACATCGTTCCTGTTGCTGTGGATTCCCACCACTCTCAGGTCCTTCACTGTGCTTGTCACAAGACACCAACTGCTTCCAGACAGGCTTCAAAGTGGTCACTAGTCAAAGCATGAGGAACCATCCCCTCCTTCCTCCTGATGGACCTTCATCCTGCTCGGTCCCATCCCCCTCAGCTGCTGGGCTGCAGTGGGATTGCTCTGGGTCATTTCTCCTGTCAGATCTACAGCTTTTTCTACTCAAGGCAGGCTGCACTCCAGTATGCTCACCAGGAACTGATGTGAACACAACCTGAATTGCAATCCAGCCTCACAAAAGAGATGTTGTGGGCAAAAACTCCTGGCCTGTCTATAGAACTCTATAAAACCCAGCATCATGGAAAACAAAAGGCTGCACATCCAGCTAGGTAGGTTGGATTCTACCTTTGTCAGTCCTGCACATTCTTCACTTTTATGCATTTACCTACCCATGCAGCAGAACCATACAAGTTTGTTGAGACAATCTAGCTAAATTAAATCCTTCAAAAGGATTCATTAATGTTAATCACCTCGCAAATTCTGTCCAGTGTGATGATGACCAAGGAATTTACCTTAACTGGCTCAGCCGTGGTACCTCACAGTATGGAAGACAGCCATACTTCATTTCTTAAACATCGTTGCTTGCATTACAGCATCAGCTGGTGGCACTAATGCATCACTTCAGTGGTGCTGCCTCTGCAGTGTGAGGACAGATGGTCACAGCAAGAGCTGCCATCTCAACTCCACCATGACTACAGCCTGCTAGAACACAGCACCAGATGCTTTCAGACTTTACGTCAGAGAAGCTATTTCAAGATTCACCTAAAACAGAAGTTACCTCTCATGAAGGGCTCTGCAACCAATAGCAGTATTTTGTTAAAAAGCACGCTGTCTTGTGTTTATGGCCTTCTGGAAATGCCTTTAGTAAAAGAAGATCCTGTGTTTGTAACTAGTCTGCCTCTTTCCTATTTTTGCCAGTAGGCAACCAACACGAGAGGGGGCAGCTGAAAAGAAACAGCCCAGTTTACCTATAGACCGGTATTTTGAATCAAGTACATGACTGAACAAAAGAGGAAGCATACAAGAATCTTAATAAAATATAAGTACAACTGTTTCTCCCTCTCTCCAGACACCCAGAGGGTAAAGGCTAAACAGCTTTATGCCACAGGTAAAAATTAAGTTTACAAAAAAAAGTGGGGTTTTGTTGGTTTTTTTTTAAACTAATTTGCTCTCTTCCAGGTAGCCAAATACAAGTAAATAATTTAAATTAGAAGGTCCTCCTAAGTCATCCTTCGCCTCTTTGCAACCACGTAAGTCTCTTCTTGGTGTCAATTTACACTAGCACTTTCCCCTTAAAAAGAATACTGAAACTTGCTAAAGGCAGAATTATACAACTGTCACCATTCAGAATGAAAGAATGAGGTAAGAAAGGAAGAGAACCACACCTCAGCTTAGGAGAAGTAACCTTATCCCCACACATGACATTACTTTATCCCTATCTATTAAACTGTTTTCAGAGCCAGCCAATCCTTGGTTTGAATGCACTGAAATTGCCAGCAGGCAGTCACTGAGGAAACAAGTCCACATTGAAATTGTGAAAATTATTCTACTTTTCTACTTTTGTTGTTCCAGTTCACACCAGATTAATTCCAAAGGCTCATCTTTACTTTGGTTGTGTCTGTGTTATTTTCTCCAAAGAGCAATACACTGTCAATGACCACTTTACTCTGGCGTCACAAAAATGGATTGATCCATACAATGACCTCAGAAAATGAAGATGTAAAGGAACTCCAGAAAGGTTAGGACAGATCCTATTGGAATGTAAATTACAAAATTTTCTGTCTCATGTTCAGCTCATGCCCTCCCAGATGCACAGACTGCCCACTCCTGTCTGCCCCTGAAATTAACTGAGGAGCAGGCTCTGGACAGGGGACAGCAGTGGCAGTGACAGTGGTTCCCCCTCAGGTCTCACTGCCTGCTTTTTCCAACACACACTGAACTTTGTATATTCACTCTGCTTGTGGGAAACACACCCAGCCATCCAAAGGTACTGAGTTTATGGCACATGCTAAATCAGGCTTCCTGCACTTACGCCAGTCTAGCTGCATGCAGTCAGTTTAGTGCTTACAGGAAGGTCTGTTGTGCCTGCACACAATTCTCAACATCTGGTCACTTGAATAGCTGAGTACTTAAACAGAGTAACATGGCTGGGCACCTCTGCTCTAAGCCATGTAGCAGAAGGCAGAGCAATTCCATAACACTTTCTGAATTTCTGGAAAATGATGATACATTTTGGCCACATTGCACTCTTGGTATAAAAAGGTGACTAGGAATCCTTCCAGGTTAAAACTGTTGCAAGGCAATGTCATTTCTTCCATTATTGCCTTGTGAAGAGATTAAAAAGACAGTATTTGCAATCTCTCCTATCCTGTGAAATACATTCCGTTCTAAAATCATACAACATATTGTCCAGCACCAGAAATGCACAGAACAATTAAATATATCATTGGACTTTGATACTGCCAGAAACAGCACTTGAAATTTCACCAGTAAGTCATAAGGCCTTGAAGAATCAAAAAAATACCCCCTCACTAATGATTCTTTGCTTCTACTATCACACAAAGCTTTTTGCCTTTCTTTCCTTTTCCACTGCTGTTTTGTATTGCATTAAAAGAAGCAGAATTTGTCTCCTCTTGTCAATTATGTATGAGCTCTGCAAACTGTAAAGTCACCAGGGCCTATTGCAGAGCTTACAAGAAACAAGTTCTTAACTCAGTTTTATATGCTTAGTACTATAATTTTATTCTTAGTACTATAATTTAGGGCTTTTCAGAATGATTATCCAATTCCCACTCCTGAGGATTTTTTAAATAAACTCTTCCACATGTTTGCCTTCATTTTCCCTTTTTCTATACCTACTCTCCCATTTTTAAGGCTGGTAAAAAAACAGCACATTTTCATGTAGATGAACATCAGGAGTTGGGTTATTCTTGCATAGGAATATTTTAGCATCCCATACCCCATTAAGAAGCTGCTTTAGGTCTGTACACAGTTCTCAGACAACGACCTGAGGAGGGAACACTCACCACAACTTGCAGCATTCGATCATTCTGGGCTTTTGGAGCCTCGGTGAGCATCTGGGTCAGTGTCTGCAGCAGGGTCTTTCCAAGCAGAATAACAGAGCCAAACATGGCAACTATTCCAAACACCATTCCTACACTGAACCTACACAGAGAAGCAAATAGTTCAACAATGCACAGCAACAGGAGAAAAGGGTATCATCTCTGGCTATGTAAATCTCTGCTTTATAGCACAAGTTATTGCACAAAACACAGGGCAAAACTTACCCGATGCTACCACAATTCATCAACAATCCAGTACAAAAGTGCTAAAGGCACAATAGTGTACACTAATAACACTAATAACTTATATTCTCCTTGTTTAATAAATGTTTTACATACAAACCATATCCTGATCAATTTTCAAATACTTTTATTGTTAGCCAATACATGCAACTCGCCTGTAGCTATGAATATATAAGTTTATAAGAATATAGAAACTTAGCTAACAATGTATTATTGGCCATGTTGTACCATAGCCTCACATATTTAGAGACCAGGATCAAATTATGGGCCAGCTTATGTACTTATGTATATAAGCTTTTTCAGTACATTTTGCATCTTTCTCACAAAAATTAAAATGGGCTAAAGAACAATAAATGAGACTGAACCTTTTTTAAAGATCAATAAATAAGACTGAATCTTTTTTAGAGAACAACTAAAAAGTACAGCTGCAAGACCACATTAACACCAATTTCTTAAGCTACATTGTTATCTTCACCAATTTTTCATTAAAATCAATGTTGAAAATAATTTCAATTCATGTCACTCCACCTAGTGACAAATTTTTATTCAGCATTAATATTATTATTCTTATTTTACACTGTTCTATAGCTGAAGGATGTGATAACTCTTTTTTCTAACAAAAAAAACCAAACTTCCATGATGCAAAACCAGCACATACACTTCACTACCAGTCCTCCTTCCTCTCATAACATCTCAACTCTTCTCTTATCAGCCTTAATGAAGCTCACTGGGAATTAGTAGATTTATTTTAAGCAACATGTACTTGTAATGTTAATTAAAGAGACTAGTGGAAACATTATACTGTAATAAATTATACACATTAAAAATTGTAATTGATATAGAACTATTTCAGACTGATTATTACAAAATCATTACATACTAGAAAAAACAATTTGAAGCAGACCTCTCTTATTACTATCTCACTGAGGATCGCAATACAGGAAATGAAAAGAAATTCAAACCTTAGATTTTCAGAGCAGATACAAAGTAATGCTAGGAATTGCAACTGAACAATAGTTTTCTAAACCAGTCCATGAGCACCTATATTAGACCACCCTACTTATCTACCCATTCCCAGCACTGTGCAACCTTTGCATGGAAAGGTGTAGGCAGATAAAAGACAGAAGGTAAGCAAGGTGCTCCTGAGCAGGTATCACTGCTGAATGCCAGGGCAATGATTAACTACAGGTACAGCTGGTTCTGAATACTTTTGTAAACTCTAGTGATTGGGAGAGCTAAGTCTAGAACATTGGGAATGATCTAGGATCTGAGCAGCTGCTTTCAGACCTACTTCTGAATGCAGTATTGCATGCAATAGCCGTACTTTTCAGTATTATGCATACTTCAAACCACAGGTAAAAATAGTTTAAGGATTTCTAGTTTTACAGAATCTCAATATGCAACTTGTATTACATTTTTGTATTTTTCAGCAGAGGATAAATACTTATACTGGCACAGCACAATTACAGCAACCACTCCAATTGGTTTTATCATTAGCCTATTAAAATATCCATGTCTACCCACTGCCCTTCTAATGCTGACAGGCACCAATGTGGTTCAATTGTTGACTCTGACAGAAGAAAAAGGACGCTGAATTTATACCATAAGTAGAGAAATTTGGGTTTCCATCTGCCCCAGTTGTAGAACTGGCGGTTGAAGAGCGCTGTTTGCCAGCGCAGGTGAAAGGGAGAGACGCTCAGGCCGTACGTCAGCAGCCAGTCCTCGTACGATGCCTTCAGAGAGTTGGAGGACTGCAAAACAACGGAAAACCAGTTTGACCAAAACAGTCTAGGAAGATTTTGGAATGTGACCAAGCAGTAAATGTGATCTGTTTATATAAAAACAGATACATAATTTGAAGTAGCTGTTCTACACCTTGCTTACATTTTGACATACAGGTAGGTGTGCCATGTAATGTGAAAAAGTTATGTCACTGTTTTGATGCTATTTCCAACAACTGTAGGTTTGTGAGAGAAATTGGGTATCCAGAGTTATCTGACAAACAAGGTCTTGCATCATCTTTCCTAGTATTAAATCACTTTCAGTAGTTCTACTTTCTGGTTAGAAGGCCAAAGACTGTTGATGGTATTCTTTCAACATGCAATTACATTCCAATAAACATTTTAAAAAACACTATAATGAAAAATGCTTTTTTTGTCTCCAGTTGAAAAAAAACTTTCTAAAACAGATGAGATATGGCTTAGTATTGCAGATACCTGTTAGTAAGGATAAAATCAAGGTCTATTTTTCAAACACAAATACTATGCCTAAAGAGGGTCTGGAATATCAGATCAGGCTAACAAAAAAACACAAGGAATTTAAAATTATCAACCTGTATTGCAATAGCAGCTTCATTATGGTAACTTCCCAGCATTTCAAGACACTTCCAGTAGATCCACAGATTTCTCTTTATGAGAAATGTGACCTATAAATGTGACCTATAAATACTTATCTGTAGCATTATCTTGAGTTACAGACCAATAGACATAGTTTTTGCAATTGCTAACTTTTCTTTATGGTGCCTGCATTCTCAGTAGGCTTTAGTCACTTGCTTCATAGAAGCTTGTGTCAGAAACCCAGATGAAGGAATGCTTTCCTTGGAGGAAACTCAGAGCTCAGGAAAAGCACAGGTGAGCTTTGAGCCTTCTGACATTGCGCGGTTCCCAAGGCAGGAGCGTCTCTGATAAAACCCAAACGAGTCTTTGGAGCTGTCTGAACTGGAGCATTGCTCCCAAGGCTCCCCACGAGCAGCAGCACCTACTGAAGGCATCCAGAACGTGCAGTTCACAACAGGCTCCCTTCTCCCCAAGGAACTCCACAAGTTTCTGGCTGTTGTCCGTGGTCCTTTAAACAAATTCAGAACTTCCCAATTCCTTGCATTCCTCCTGCCCTGCATCACAGTGGTGGTGGAGGTTGAGGATCTCATACTGCACAATTGTATTAATAGCTTTTCTCATTTTGTCAAATTAATTAAATCTTGAACACTAAAAGCTTATTTCAAATAACAAATATCCTCAGTTGTGAGACTCATTTACTTGAGCCATTGTTCACATATCACCTATTGCACTATTTATCCTTTCTGCCTATATATTTCTGTGTCATTTCCTTCTTCTTCACCCTGCTGATTTCAGCCACATTTTTGTTCTGTCAGCACCAACAGAAATTTTCACTGTAATGCACTCCCATCAACACCACTCACTTCCTACAGCACCATTAAGTTTAGTGTCCACAATCATATCAGCTTTTGCTAATTTTAACAGAAGAGATCACAAAAATTATTAAACTTGTACACAATTAGTGATACAAGCCAAGGAAACAAAGAAAAAGACCTCCTCATGTAATCTACCAGATAATTAAGAACAAAAATACATACATTATTAAGAACCTCTGATATGAGAAACTGTCTTTTCTGAATTAAAAAAAAAAAAAGTCCTATTGTTTCACACAATTAAAAAAAAACCCCAAAAAAACCCTAATACATTATTCTAATAAAGTTAATCAGATACATTGATTTGACACTTGAAAATGTGTTCCTTCTATCTCAGGCAAACTCCACTTTTCTCCCTAGAATTGCCAGAAATTCATCCCTTCAAATTCATTCCAACAACATCACAGCCCCAATGTCCTAGCATAACATAAATAAGTATAAAGTTCTCCATGAGAAATATGGAATCACTGACCATACAGCTGTCAAACATGGAAAAGAAAGGTACCAAAACATTTTCCTTTTGTATTTTCCTCGCAAGTTTTGTAAGCCTTATTCATGATCACTAAATGACTGCAAACTTTTGCAAAATATATCAAAAAGCTCTTTGCAAAGTTTTGCTCCTTCTGTCCTGTTCCCAGGGAGATCACCACATTAAACACACACCCTCATGCCCTGGTATGCTTCATTTCAAGCTTCTTCCACACAGGCCCTGCTTCTTTGAGATCTAAGAGATCTTTGTTAAATTAGTATACTATAAAAGCAGTACCTATTTATTTATGCAGCCTTTAAAATGATGGACACCTGCTAAACACTCCAGGAGCTCCACAGGTATCTGCCAGCAAGCAGGAGATCTTAACATTCTTCTCTGCTGGCAAAATCACTTCAAGAGCTCTGAATCATTTCAGCTTCCTGACCTTAAAAGCTGAGAGCCAGCCTTGACTGAATGTGTCTAATGCATCCTTCATTTCTCACAGCAGAAAGGAGGGACAAGCTCCTACACTTCACTCGTTCTTATCCTTCAGGCAGAATGAAATGTGATGACTTAGGATGCTGGGGAGAAGGCATTTAGGGGTCTGAGTGATTCCCTCTTACAGAATCCAAGCTTCAGTGAAAACACTGGTGGCAGTGGAGCAACAAGGGGGACTTAACATTCAAAATCCCAGCCTGGTTTGGCATAGCTTTAGTTTCCTGACACAAATGTATCTTTTAGTTCTAGCAATATTATAAAATGTTCATTTATCTGGCCAAAAACACATTTATACACAGTTATACTTTCTATACTGTAGTCTAGGAGTCAGACTGCCAAAATGAAATATTTAAAATATGAAGAAAACCAGTAAGGGAACAAACTGAGCAAAAAACATTGTACATTGAACGGGTTTACAGAACAAACATTAACTGCAAGTTACAGCACACATCCTTCTCTTGCCAAAAATATCAACAGGATCACACATGGAAAAGTGCTCCCACATTATTTTTCACTCATGCTCTGAACATCCTCTTGGTGTACTTACACTGACAGTGATTTGAGACTGAAACAGTACAATTAATTAAACAGTACAATGTTGCTGTGGTTGCTAGCAGCCTTGGGTTGTGACTGTGGTGGAGATTTACAGTATCAGTATCAGCAGAAAAACAAGCAACCTGAGCTTCCTAATGACATAAATCTGATTATTTAATCCAAATTCTATTTCAACTGTGGTACTCACAGTGAAACCTATGACTGAGATGTACAACATGAGATCCACCATTAAGTTCACTAAAACTCAAAAGCTCCCACATAATTCCAGAGAATTAATAACCTTGGTCAACTTTAGGTAGAAGATCACAATTAAAATTTAACTCCTGGATTCTCATGCTTGCTATAGAATTCTAGGCATCCCCCCTCTTTTTCAACATAAATCAGGCATTAAGTAGGCTCCACTGTAGGGGTTTTTTTTTCCCCTTCCCTTGCTGCTGCAAGAAATGCAGTGGCTCTCCTTATTTACAGAAGAGAATGATTTTATGGTCTAATGCAGAAAGAGATCTTCAGAATCCCACAGATGCAAATGGTCTCAGCATCATGGCACAACAGGTCTGGAACCTGAGCTCAGTTCTTGCTCCACAGCCCAAGAGTCTCCACCAGACACAAAGCTGCTGCCAAAAGAGAAGCAGCAGCCTCCTGGCTGACCTTCCTGGCGTGTCTCACTGCAGTCAGAGCACGTTCTTCTGGAACCTGGGCAATCTCATGTGTTTCAAAACAATGCCTTTTTTTTTTTTTTTAAATATTTGACACAGACTTGCTCCAAGAAAATTTGAGAAGTCTATATGTGTTATTGTCATCAGGTACAGACTAATATTTTGCAATTATGAGCTTCCGTCATTAACAGAGCTACATTTGCTCTCCAATTAGCTGCAGGGGGAGACACTTTTCCAAGTTTTCTAAGGACCTGCATTTTCTTGCATTTCTTCCTATATTTTACAGGAGTGACAAAATGCACATTTTGTACTTTCATATCACTAAACCTTATCTGCCTTGGCAGAAACAGATGCAATTCCTGGACTGTAAAATTAAGAATTACAGATCAAACCTCTCATTTCATTTTCCCTCATATTTAACCAGCACACAGCCTACTTTGTATGCACTGTTTGCAATTTCGGTCATGTCTTAGAAATCACACCTCTGAATCTTTAAAAAAAAACCAACACCACACCACTTAATGAAACTTGAGCAATGCACAGATGCATCCCAGGTACAACAAATGATGTCTTGGTTATTTTCCTTTTAAAACTTCCCCCCTGTATCAGAAAGAAAGGGATGAGTCTCCTAATACACTCCGAGGACCAAAGTTTGTTTCTTAAAAAGTATTTGTATCGAGTTCTGTCTCAAATTTTCTCCAGCAGAACTAAAGACATTCAAAAGAAATAAATATGCATTGCTTTTTACATTTTTTCAGGAAAATCATCATTATAAGGCATATACCCTACACCGCAAACTTACAAGGTTGTATTTTAGGTTTTGTTACTATAATAATAATAAACTCCAGACAGCACGTTAAAATGCCACGGAGCCGCTTAAGCAGTATATTAAAAGCTGTTTTCGCTAACTTTTCGCGGTTTCGGTCCTTTAGCACTGCCCCGGGCGGCGATAGAGCCCCGCGCCGGGCGGGAGCGGAGCAGGGGCTGCCCGGCCCGGGGGGCGGGGGGGCTCCGGGCCGGGATCGCCTCCCAGCCCGCGGCAGAGCAGCGGCCCCGGGCCGGGCGCGGCCGCTCCGCCAGCCCGGTCTCGGCAGCGGGGCCCGGGGCCGCCCGGCGCGGGGGGAACGGGGCTGCCGCTGCCTCCTCCCGGCCCCGTCCGGCTCTGCGCCCTCGGCCCTCACCTTGAGCAGCGTGTCCGCCAGGTACACGGCGCACCAGCCGCCCAGCACGGTCACCACCACCGGCACCGGGATCATCGCGGGCCGCGCCGCGCCTCAGCGCGGCAGCCCCGGAACCCAACCTGCCCGGAACCTTTCTCCCACCGGCTCTGCTGCCCGGGCGGACGCTTCCGGCCGGCGCGTAGAGCGAGGGCAGGTGGCGGCATGACGTCACGGGCCGGGGCGCGGGGCAGCGCTCGGGGCGTTAGGGCTGGGCGCGTGCGCAGTGGGGCGGGAGGGGCGGGGCCGGGGTGAGGGCGCTGGGGCTGAGGGGCGGGGCCGGGCTGAGGGCGGTGCGGTTCCCCGTCCTGTGGCTACATTTATCTCGCCTGCCTCCGCCAGTGGGTTTGTGGAAGCGGCTCCAGTGGTAGTGATCAGGAGGTTGCACGGGAGAATAAAAGTCGTTTGTGGTGGCAAGATCAAAGCACATTGTGGAAGCGCTTCAGTAACGAGAGAGTAACGGGGTTCCCTTTAACCGCTGACGTTCTGCCAGAAATTAGCAGCGACCTGGTTGCACAACAGGATCATTCTGCGAGGCTGCCGGGGAGGATGGCTTTTAAGCAGATGCTTCCTGGGCCCAGAGTTTCCTTCCCAGGCCGTGGTCAATGCTAATTCTCCGGCCGTGTGCCTGTGTTGTGTCAGCTTGGCACGGAGCTCGTTTTCCCTCGGCAGCCTCACGGTACCTGGGAAGGTGTTGGGAACACACGGGGTGTGACACAGCATCTGCCTGTCCCTGCCACATTGTCCCCATCCGTAGGCAAGATCCTGCGAGAGGATACAGCTGGGACAGCTGACCCAAATTAACCAAAGGGATATTCCATATCTTGTGGCAATAGACCCAAAAAAAAACCCAAAAAAACAAAACAAAGAAAAAAAAAAAAAAACAAAAAACAAACAAACAAAAAAAAAAACAAAACCTAAGCAAAGGAGGAGGAGGCATTTGTTATTTACAGTGTTTGACTTCCACAGCAAGCGAGAGAAAACAGCCCTGGGCAGCCTCTCAGCACTGGCATTTGTGGGTGCACAGCAGGAACTGATGCCAGTATTGCATGCTGGCTTTCACTTGTTCTGTTTGCTCAATTCCTTTACCTTTCATCTCAGCTTGGGGCTTATCTGCCCCTTGCGTTTAGATTTTCCAGCATTCCAACAACCCCACGTTCTGATGGAAGCTGTCTGTCTATGTTGACTGATGCCTTTTGAGAAGGTTGGAAAGAACTTCATTTGGACATAGAACCTGAAGAATTGCAGGAAGTGTATCCACCCCTGCATGCAACCGAATTTGAGTTTCTGCACTGACATAGATGACTTTGGGATGTCCCCAGCATCTAAAAGGACTTAGTAACAGAATATTGGGATCTGATAATTGTTTTTTTTCTGAGCTGCTTCCCAGTCTAACAGATTTATTAAATAATTGAGAAATTATGCAAATGTGGTTTATTCTACACCTTACTGGTTGAAAACTCAAGTTGTTCCATAGACCAGCATGAGTTTAATATAAATATACAGACTATAAACGAGTGGTGATCTTCAGAAGCAGTGGAGCGGAATTGTATTCAGTTGAGAAACACAAGTACTTTTTCTCAACTGTAAACAGTTGAGAACACAAGTACTTTTCCTAGTGTCATATCCTCACTCAAATAAAGCAAACTAAAACTGACGTGTTTAAATAAACCAGCTGGTGACCAGGTTTTGTAACATTATTGTATTTTTGCTTCCTCATTCAGTTAGTGTACCACAAAAATACAGACTTGAATTTTATTAAGTTTTCATAGAAATTGGAAGTGCAACTAAAAAAGGAATGAAAATAAAATACATAGTCTGTATTTTACTGCTGGAAAGTTTATCTCAACAAACAAAAATAAGAATTTTCTAAAATGCAGAAAGTTTTCATAGAAATTGGAAGTGCAAATAAAAAAGGAATGAAAATAAAATACACAGTCTGTATTTTACTGCTGGAAAGTTTATCTCAAGAAAACAAACAGAAATAAGAATTTTCTAAAATGCAGGAGACGGATGAACAGTTCCATCAGTTCTGAGTGAGCTGCCAGCCCCAGTTCTGTCTTGGGTAACTTGAGCAGGTGTTTTGCCCATGGCAGAGAGGCAAAGTTTATCCCTGTTCCCATGGAGTTAAATTGTTGTGGACTGTGACGTGTTCCACAGAGTGGTTGCGTTTTGAAAGTAAAGGTATTCAGGATTAAAGATTTCCACTTTAGAATGGTTCAGGAGGTAGCACAGATTCTGATACACATTCTCCCCCACGCTTGGTTTTACTTAGAGCTGGTATGAAGCTGAAGCAGTGGCCAGAGCAGAGTGCCCTGCAGCCACCATGTGAGTGCACAGTGTCCCCACGCTGTTCCAGAGCAGTTCAGCTGTCACGGTGTCAGGAGTCACAGCTGAGGGGTGCATCGGGGGAGGGCATGGCTGGACCTCAACAGGGCAAGTATCGAAGAGTGTTGGAAAAGGTTAAACATCAATCATCACACAAGAGTATCTAAGTTCATGCAAAAAGCTTAGATAGGAAAAAAATTCTCTCATAAACAATTCTACTGATTAAATATAATTTATCAAGTAAATACCAAATAGAATCTGTTAATAATACAGTAATTAAGATACTATCAAGTTCAGTTAGTGATTTAATATCATAGGCATCTTTTTCTAGACATGGTAAATGTGTTTATCTTGAGATTAATTAACAATATGTCTAATAATTAATCTCTTCAACTTTGATCTATTATTGAAGTAGATATGTGATTATTCAGATATTTCCATAGAAGACATGTCGCATAATAAAAAGTAAAACTAGCCTGAACAGCACTATCAAAAACTCTTTAAGTTAGAGGGGTTTGCAGGGCTTCAGGGAAATTGTACCAATTGCAGTTCATCACAAGCTCAGACCTAAAATCAGCTAAGATGTTGATTTTGTCAAGGAGAGGTTGTGAATTCTACCAGTTTGAAGATACTACAATCAGAACATGAATTGATTGGATAAGTGTTTGAGCCTCAGGGAAAGAAAATGGGGTTTTAAATACATTCTGAGTAGGCTGCATCTCTAGATTGTTGGGCATAGAGATGAGCTAATGGCAGGAAAGAGCTGCTGGGATGAAATGTGATTCTGCAAGTGTTTATGTGCCACTGTAACTTAAAGGGAAGGGGTGCTTTCCCAGACTACAGGAATGTTTCCAGAGTGAGCCTCCAAGCCTACCTGAGAATTCAAAGTACAGACTAGAATGCATGAAAGAAGAAATGGGTGGGAAAAGATGAAATAGATGGTCCATTTAGCACTTCTGCAGGTTAGGAGATTGCTTCTGGAGGAAATAAAGAGATCAGAATAAAGAAGAAATCTGAGACACAGGAGGAGACATACAGAGACTGGCACAATACAGAGACGTGTGTAGCATTGGTTGTGAAAGTATGAAGGAAAAATATGTTTTCATTACCTTACTACTATTGTTATATAAAAAAAATCTCAAGACAGGGAGAAATTCAGGTAGTGGGAATTATGGAGATAGGTTATATGTGTGATATTTTAAACTGAAATCCAAACAAGAAAATAAAAAATGCCCTTTAATCTTTTCTCTGTTTAAAACAGATAATAGCAGAATGTTTCACTGTTTTATTTGTTTGGGTGTTTTTGTGGTCCAATTACAGTGTAAAACAGTCTTGCTTTATTTAAATAGAAATGAGGTCAAAATACTCTGTTAAGGTTCAGGATTTGTTTGCAGTATTTAACCTGGTTACCAAAAATACTTGCTGGAATGGTGGGATTTTGATTCTTAAAACAAATGAAATTTGTTCTCAAGTCACTATTCACATGAAAACATAGGTAAAGCACAAGTGTTCCTAGAAATATGCCTTTACTTGATTAGTATGCAAAAAACAATAGTTGTACATGCTTTTTCACCAGTTGTCTCACAGTGTTGATCTATGGCAAAACAAATGGTAGTTTTTTCTTATTTTCTGTCAGTTTGCAGCATTTACCCATCTGTGGTAACTCTGTTAGGCAAATCTCAGATGGAATTACATCTAAGAGAGGGTCCTCCAAAGCTGTTGCATTCCAAGGAGAAATAAGTATCAAAGAAAAGCAAAGGAAGTGGATGAACTTGAGAGATGTGGCTTGAATCTTATTCTAGAATAAAGTTCCATGAAAATATTAGTTTCAGGCTTATGCTACCCATTTTTAGATTATAGTGTTGCTTGCATCCTCTGTAAAAGTTTAGAAGTTATACATGAGGAAAATTTACTGGAGAACAGCTATTCAGCATTAGCTCTTATGTTGGGAGCCCTTTACCACTTGAAAAGTCTATCCATTAAAGTGAGCTTACCTAAATTACAGGAAATAAAGGACTTAGTCTGAGAAGGAGGAGACCATAAAAGGGCATAATATAAAAAAATTGTTTCAAGGTTTGAGGGATTATTTTTGATTTAAATTACCTGCGAAGTCCCTATGGACACAGTCCCCTATTCTACTGCAGAATGCAAAATAAATTGAATAGTTTCAGTCTAACAGGTATTATTTCATGCCTACTGTAACCTGAAATAAATGCACATGATGTCATTAGACATATCAACTTTGAACCTCAAAACCTGTAGGGCTGCCTTAAACCTAGGGAAGGGAAAGAGAAAGAAGCACCCTCAGCGTAAGCAAGTCAGAGTGAGGTAACAGTTTGACACAAAGTAGCCTGTAGCTATCATTTCATAGGCTGCATTTCTCTTCATAGAAACATAAATTGGGTTGGGTTGGGTTGGGTTGGGAGGGGCCTTAAAATTTTGGGTTGGGAGGGGACCATCTATTTCCAGTCACCCACCATGGGCAGGCACACCTTGCCCTACACCGGGCTGCTCAGGGCCCCATCCAGTCTGGATTAATCTGCATGTGTGATACTTGGCTGTTCTGAACAACAGGAATGTCTTGCACAGGATGAACCAGTGAGGGTATCCCAGAACTGTTCACTGGGACTGCTCAGATGGCTGAAGCAGCTCCTGAATTGCTTCATCATGCAGCACAGCACTCAAGTAAAACCAGCACTGGTTTTGTTCTACCTCAAGGACAGAGGGGAGCAGCTTTGTGATTACATAGCACTGCACACAGCGGATAAACTAATTTTAACTGGTGTCCGTCCCAGTACTACAAATCCACTCTGCCCCTTGTCAGCCAGAGCACCTGTGAACTACCCATGACAAAACTGTGGGTTTGCCTTACACAGACCACTTTGTGTTAGGAGCCTAAGCTAAGAGCATTTCCGTTCTTACTAATAAAATAAATAGTTTGAGAGCTGGCTGCAATAAAACAGGGAACATCTTCATGGATTCTCTAGTAAGAGTATAGTCAGTACCTCACCAATAGCTGGTGGGCACAGGAAACACAGAGCAGCCTGCTCTTTTCGAAAGTAGTTTCCAAGACAAATGATTTTCAAGTGTCACTTTTAGCTCCAGATCTTGAGAACTGAACTGTACTTTAAAGAGCTTGTGTTGCACAGCCAGAGGAGATGGAGTGATACTGCCTGTCCACAGCTCTAATTCATATGGATGTAAAGTAAGATTTTAAAAACTACTTTGTGTAATTTTCTGAGAAACACTTTTTGATCCTGGAGATTTGATATTGTATTGGAAAACATCATTGCCCAATGGAGCAGCTGGTTTCTCTGCCAACACTGAATTCTTTTGGCAATTTCTCTCTGAACATTGCAATATTTGTATGGCAGGAGGCCACAGATAATTGAAAAATGTTTCTGTAGCAGATTTGATTCAATAAAAATAAGGTTTAATAGAGATCATGTTTGACTGCTTCATAGATAGGCATGACTACTACATTTATTCATATCTTCACCATGGAAAGCATTCATTCTTAATGGCTCTAGTTTTTCAGAACATTGGAGGTGTGACAAGGTAAGGATTTTTTCCTTATGACTCTTGAGAACTAAGCTTAATGTCCTGATATTGAGTCAAACTTTAAAAATCTTCACACCCATGATTTAACTATCTTCATCTTTTATTTTCTGTCCAACAGGTACAAATCAAAGATAGCAACTGATAAATCACATATAATTCAGCAGGTTGGTGCAGTTGTACTTGAGTTTGGTAACTTTTTATCTAAAAGCATTAATTTATTTATACTGTCCTTGAAATTCTGCTTCCTCCAGCCCATTTCCTCATCTTACTTGTTCTGGGTGCATCTTTCTACCAGAGAGATTTTTAATGTCTCAAACATGTATTTCTTTCCTCTCAATATGCCATTCAGATGAGAAATCAGCAGAATTTAGTCATTGTTCTCTTTGTTAGACTTCAGATGATTGCACTCACAGAGGGACCATAGCTGCAATTTTTTGTCATGCTTTATCACAACAGATAAATAAGGCACTTTCTGTGGTGCTGAGTCCCCAAGTCCTTTGGTATACCTGTACCTGGTTCTCGTATATACCTCTGTGCTGAGTCAACAGCAAAATTCCCTGCTGCAGTCAGGTATGGTTTTAATCTAGATTAGACAAGATCTAATAGTGCACAGCTGATATGATCAGCTGATGGGGATGGGCATCGTTAAATAAGTGCATGATGGGATTGAAAAATATAGTAGATGCTTACTTGAATTATCCTGATTTGTGAAAACAATTAGTAGTCTCTGTTGAAAGTTTCAACAGTGATTTAGTCAGTTCCTGTTTTGTCAAAATCACTTGCTGAGAACAGTATCTGATGGTGCAGTATCATGTTTTTTGGTTTTTTTCCAAATAATTCTGAATCATTACAGTAGACAGGATGTTTACAAAAATCAGCATATAATTTAAATTTCATATTCAAAATCTGACATTAGCCTTGCTCTTTCTTATGCTACCAGCTTTGCCAGATATACTGGTTAAAATTTACCAGGAGAAAAGTGGAAACAAACTTGTTGCTTGTACATCATCATCACCATCATCATCTTTCAGTTACCAAAAACATTTGGATAACTAGAAATTTTACACAATACCAAGAAACAGAGAATATGGCTTTTGGGTAATAGTGGTCAAAGTTATGATGTTGTAGAATTTGTATGGGTTGTATTAATAAGGCAGTTTTCAGAACTTAATACAAATTCATAGATGATGCTAACAACACTATTAATGATGCTGTAACTCTGAAATTCAGAACAAGGTCACTGCGAGCCTTTAATGAGACCATCTCCTTAATACAAGACTAATTATTTCTCTATGGAACAGTCTGTGATAATAATCATCATGCTTTTCTATGGAAAAGAAAGAGCATGTGCAGGAGTTGAATTAATATTTAGTAGCCCAGAAATGCCACAGAAACAAAATCAGCTAATTTAGATATGTTTTGTATTGATTTCCTGCCTTCTAGATAACAGCAAACGTTCTTGCATGCTATTTTATGTCATTCATTATTTAAATAACTTGATGTTATTGTTGTTGGCATAACTATACAAGTAGAAACTCAAAAACAAGTGCTTGATTTTTTTCCTTGATATTAAGAAATAGAGATTGGGCAAAATGGGAAGACATGTATAACCAGAAGATGATACCTCCTCAAACAATATTTTTTCTGACAAGATCACTGAGGTTTGATACTCTTTCTGTAATCTATGATTCAAAGTTGCTTTCTGTTAAAATCAAGCATAGGAATTATTTGTGATGCCAGGTAAAATTGATAGCTCCATGTAGTTTAAATTTCTGTAGTTCTGTCTGACCGCATGTGGCTGGGTACCATTTCATCAAGTCTATGTGCCATGTCATTAGTACATGGATGCATCTTTACTAAGAGGAAAGAGCCCAAAAATAAAACTAAAACCTGAGTGTTTTACAAAATGGATGGTGAGTCTGGGTTTTTTTTTCAGGATCCTCTGCATAGATGATGCTAACAACACTATTAATGATGCTGTAACTCTGAAATTCAGAACAAGGTCGCTGCGAGCCTTTAATGAGACCATCTCCTTAATCTGTCTCATAGCAGTTTCTTATTTTTACATCTTGACCAGGAATTTCGGTGTGTTGACTGAGGAGAATAGTTATACTAGTTCCACTGCAACTTTAGTTTGCATATTCTTCATAAAAAAATCAAATGAATGTAAAGACAGGAATTAATTAGCCAAATACGTAATATCATGGGCCCACTATTCTTCCCTGGTAATAAACTGTAATTTATGGAGCTAAGATTAAGACAGAGAAGCAAAGTTTTTCCTTTCTAAAGATCTATAATATGTTGCTACTACATGGTAATTTAAAGCAAAGCTCCAGAAATTTATTTTTTAACTTTTTACTTTAAGAAGTCTTATTTCAAGTGAGCTGAAGTTGTGATTTCTTATGTGTGGACTTGCATTTTCAACTGTATTATTCTGTTTGCATTACACTGAAACATTGTGGACTACAATAGAAAAATAAGTTCTTTTTGGCACGCTCAGGAAGTTTTATCTGTACTCATGAGGTTTCTCAAAAAGCAAAACATTTACGTAAATGTATTAAGTAGTGACAGCTTTAAAAAACAGTTCTGACATTATGCAGTGAAATATCTCAGTGGAGAAGTAAGACACATACACATTTCTGTTAACCATCAACTTCACTTTCAAAACTAGTTGTGCCAGGAAGCATATTAATTAGACAAGTTTCTAGCAATGCCACAAAAGTCTATTTTTAACTATATTGGGATTTTACACTTCAAATAAATGCATTTCTACTATATCTTTTGGATTTTTATACACAAGACATAATTTTATGCCATGTGTGTCAATGTACAGGGCCCTAACTTGCCAGACACTGAATCCATCATGTGAAATGCACATATGCCTCCTTATTTACTTTCTAATTCATCTGCCACATGCATTTACCAGATGACTCTGCAAGTCATGGGGCTATGCATCCCAGAGGTTATTCAAAGGCAATGATATGCTGCAAAATTATGTTGAGTGACTATTTTTTCCTTCAAAATCTACTCAGATTTGCATTTTCTGATATTAGTGATAAGATTTAAGTTTGCTCCTTTTAGCCTCACAATTTAATACAGTTCAGGTGTAGTGATAGTTACAGGGTGTTAGGTAGGTGACAGACTCTTTTCTTGTTTACACATCACTAAGAATACTAAATTATTTGTCACTGCTATGAAAATTTGAAGGGAATAGTGTTGAGCTGATATTTCTTAGGCATATTTGCAAGATTAAGAGATTATAAAATCTAAACAGTGGCCCACCTTTGCTTAATTAATGACACATGGAAGAAAGAACTGTGTATTCAAGAACTAGTTTGTAATATTACTATTGTAATATAAATTGAAATAAGTTAATGTACAGGATCATGTTACAAAAAGAGTATTGCCTCTTCCATTGCCTTCTGGTACTTTTGTTTTAACTATGAACCTTCCGAAGGAGGTATGTAAAGTCACTTAGTCTGGCTTGTTTTAATGTGCTCTCAACGACCTGGAAGGCAGGATCTTCGACTGACTGCAGACTGCTCTGTTCTGGCCAAAGAACAGCTTTGTGAGCCCTCTTGGGAACTCCACCACGTTTCAAGCACAGTAGTCCTCTAATGCCTCAAAATATTTGGCAACAGGCATAATCAGCCTATCTGAGGAACAGAGGTCTCCTTGGAAGGAGCTGATGGCTGTGTGTACGTCCATCAGTCCTGGCCTACACAAATGCACGTCCTGGTTGCGTGCCTGCTTCTGTGTCGTCCATCTTCTTGTGGCTGCTTGGGAAGGGGGTGGCTGTAGGTAGTCAGCAATCTCCCAGAGCAAGTCATCAGATTTATCAGCTTCCAGATGACATCATTTTTGGGAAAGACGACAGTGGAGAGTGAGTCACAGGCTTAATGAAGCAGCCTGCTTGGTCACCTTCCTCTTTGAGATGCTTGAAATTAAAAGGGTCATTGGTCAAATGAGTTAAACTCAAGTGAGATCCTTGACAGCCCATAATGATGCTGCCTTTGTCACCATTACTCTTGTAGAGCCACTGGAGATCAGGTACAACAGAGGAGTGAGGAAGAGGGAAATTCATTCTTGTGAAGATGCACAGAGGACAAGGAATTTGCACTTCTGCAAGTGGAAACCTGAGGATATGCCCCACACACAACTTGTTGTGAGATCTCCATCAGTAGCCCTCACTAAGACAATACTCCAGCCAGCATGAGCAAAATTATGTAATGTTTTACTTCCCTCATGAGCTATAACAACTCTCTGTCTCTTTCTCTCTCTCTCTCTCACACACACACTCCTCCTTTGGCTTTTCTTCATCCCCATGCCTGCAGGCTCAGCAGCTGATCCCTCTGGCCCTGCACGCTCAGGAGCCCTCCCTGGTGAGCAGGGCTGTCCTGCAGGGGGGAAAGCTCTGCTGACACCCCAGGGCAGCTGCTGGGTGAGTTTGCTCCCAAAGCAGCAGCAATACGGCCACGTTGGTGTGACCTCCCCTAGATAGTTCCTCTGAGGTGATTTCTTCATAATTACGTCTCCATAATTATTTCCTTCTCCGGTGTGGCGTAGGGAGGTACACACTGCCCCAAATGCCATGGGAGGAGTTCTGTGTTACCTGCTACCAGTGTATGCCTGGCACTTGGGAAAAGCCTGGAATGACAGGGAGAGGGAGGGCAGAAAAAGGACCTAAAGGTGTGTTTCTTCAACACCTCCTGCTTGACAGTTGAGCCCTGCTTTTACCATGGTCAAGTGTCACAGGGGACCAAGTTACAGGGTGAATCAAACTCTATATTTAGGAAGAACAACTGGAAGCTATGACAGGAATTCCCTTTTACACTTCGCTTCTCTGCTGAGTCCCACTCCAGCCTGGAGCAGCACTCAGTGCCGTCCAGGCTGAAAGCATCGGAGCTATTTCAGACACATTAAAAGGGTCACAGTCAATACCTCAGCTGGTAGAAGAAGGTACCTCTTTCAGCATCAAAAGGAGGTGTGCACACTCACTTGACGGTTTGGAACTTTTTTTATATAAGTAAATAAGTTAGCTAATCTTGAAGGGGTCAATTAAAATCTTGAAAGACCCTCATGAAAACTCTTTAGGAATTGCTGTGAGTTTGCTACAATAGTTGTGGTTTTCTGCCTATTTTAATGTCTCATGCAGTGTATCAGAGTATACAGAGCAGATCACTATTGCTTCATAGTCTGTGGGGATCTAAAAATTGAAAATAAAAAGTCACTTAAATACCTCATGACTCATAAGAATTGTGTATGAGTTTGAATATTGTCGTACATAGGCAGAAGGTTATTGTTTTCTGTATGCTTATTATAATTAGTGAAATATTACATTATGGTTTTGATGTAAGAGAGGTTTCTTTCACTAAGCTTAACAGGCAACTGTAATGAAGATTATTGTGTATTAGGGAAAAGTGACCACATTTGCCTAGAGCTTGTAGTAAGTTTTCGTGTAACAGGCTGAAAGCTGCAGAGTAGGGGTTTCTCTTCTTTCATGGTACTGGTTAGGTCTCACAGTTGTGTAGTTCCTGTCAAAGTCTTTTAATAAGATAATACACTGCAGTTCTGTCGCCAAAATGCCCGTTGTTCTTGATGCTGTGCTTGCAGTGGGGGGAGAGGACAGCTTCCAGCTGGGGCAGGGGGAGGGCTCTTGCTGTTGTCTCTGTGCTACTGTACATCTCTTGTGTGCATTACAAAAGATGGCATTATGATATCTCATCGTGTTTAAAGCAAGTTGAATAAATCAGCTTATTATCTTGCTCCAGCCCTGTCAGAAATTATTTTTAGCAGAGAGACAGAAGATAGGTTCCTTTGTTTTACAAAGTTTCACTTCAAAACACTCATTTATTTCACTGCAGTAGTCCTATATTTCACAAGTAGTCCTGCTCGTGAGTACTTTCACTGCAAAGAGGGAATTTGCAAGGGAAGGCTGCCATAAACCAGCTTCAAATTGAACTAGCGTTGCCACTGCTTTCTAAGTTTGGCTCAGCATGCAGCCCATAAAAGGTAAAAGGTAAGGTGTGGGGAGGCCAAAAAGACGCCAGGGAATACAGGCTGCGTGTCTGCATTTCTCTGCCTGCTAGAGATGTGAAATCCTGCTGTGGAAATGAGGGTGAAGTGGGATTTTTTCAAGTTTGCAGAGCTGATTGGAATACCAGAAATAACTTAAGACAATCAGTGCAGCACTCTTGACTCACTCTGTCTGAGACACATGGTGAAAGAACAAAGGAATTGATAAAAATTAACTTTTCACTTCTGTAATGGATGCTTCTGTAATCTAAGGTTTATTTTCCTGTGATTGATGGTCAGCATTGCTCTGTAAGGAAATTCAGGGAAGGGAGGGAAGGGGAAAGAGCCAGAGATCTATTTTTACTCAGTAGTGTGCTGTTGTCCTGATTTCTCTGGCGGTAATGAGGACAGCACAGTCTGCTAGGAAAATCACCTCCTCCAAAAGCAGTCCTACACAATTGTATCATGCATCCCTCTTTAGGAACCGGTGTCTGATTGCAGTAATTTCCAACACTGGCTGCCTGTGAACCCAGAGCAGCTCGCTGAGGAGCACTAATGCTGTGCTTGTTTCATAGCTGAGATTCAGGGTAAATCCTTGCCATTTATCTCTAAGTGGCCCAAGAGGTGTGTATGGGTGTTTTTGCAATGCACAGGCATGCAAGATGAAATACATCTTAGCAAGAATTTCTTTGTGACAGTGTTTGGGAAGTAGGTCCACTGTGTTTCAAAGTGTTTAATGTTATTTAAACATTTTTAAATATGCTTTTTTCCCCATTTTTCATTCTGATTAGAAAGATGAGAATTTGATTAAAAAATTAATTAAACATTCTGTATTATGACTCCTGTCTTCCCAGTCAGTTGGGGAATTGTTTTGCGTTTATTTTGGAATACAGTCACTGATCAACGGAACAGTTATTTATATGCTTAATAAAGATTTTCAAAAATAAAGGAGGTAGATTATAGTAAATCCTGTTGTGGTTTTGAAATGTGTTTGAATTTTGTCACGAAAGTCAGTGGCTGAGATTGCATCCCCTAAAGTGAATTCTGAAGTTTTTAAAACTCCCTCTCATTTGAGGATTGTATATATAAAACCACAATATAAAGCTCATTAAAAGAATGCTGGTTTTATTTTGCACAGTGGGATTTTTTTCTGATTTATTAATTTAGTGGAAGCAATTTAAACCCAAACAATTTATGAACATGATTGTCCTCTGACTGAATGCTGTGTTGGTTTGGACACCACTTTTTGCAGCTGAGAGTGTGACCAGAGGGAGACCTCTAATGGCAGGTCATTTGTATTTTTATTCTGCTCAGCATTGTACACAGATTTAAAACTGATGTGAGAATATGCAGGAGGAAGTCTTCTAGTCAGTCCCAGTAGTACAATTTCAGGCTGATATTGCTGATATTCCAAGTTGAAGCCAACCTACAATTCATCTGTATGGTTTTTTGGGGGCTGCCTCATGTGGCAGTTATACTCTTTGAGGTACCCAAGTCTTCACACACTTTTAATTTCTCAGAGTATTTCTGCTATTCTCTCCTACATCATTTATTTCTGTTCTTATTACTTCCCTTCCTATCTAAGATTAAATACAGTATCAAAAATGTGCTGTAGTTTTGTGGTGATCAGTGACTTTTCTGGTGAATTAATTTCTCAGCTTTTAGAATTACTGCCTTACTTTATATTATAATAGTTAAATAACCAGACTTTGATGAAAGTCTAGTCCAGTTAAAATGTAACTTCTCAGCGAGAGAATGAAAGGCTGAGATGGTGTTTCAAATAATCTGCTAATAAAATTTCTTCCCTTTTACTTTGGTGTATTTCCCTTTCCTATTGTATATTAATAGTGTATCAGTCTGAATTTCTCCACCTGCATAAAATTATAGAGAAAATATGTTATTTTTGATCTTATTGCTAAAGAAAATTGATGAATCTATATGATCTAAAACTTTGAAGGGAGGCTACTTTGTGCTCTAGCAATTGTCAAGGAGAACTTTTCTGCTTGACCATCTTGTCCACTTTCAGCCACAGGCATTAAAGATTTGCAAGGATTGAGTCAGAAAATGGTTATGTCTGCAATATTTTCTAACTAGTTACATTTTATTTGAGAGAAGGCTTAAACTGAAAGTTCTAATAATTCCCACATACATACTGTGACTGGGCTAATCACACACTGCTTGTCCTCAAAAGCTTCCTTTAATTCTTACTCATTTTACAGTGCTGTTAATGTTTGAGAGATTCCTTATCTCTACTCATTATTGTTTTTAATGTGAAAGAGATAGCTTCATTTGTGGCTATGAAAGATTAATTGGTGAAGCTCAGGTGTTCTGTCTCCTCCTGATATCAGAAGGCATAACTAAGCAGCTTGGAAACTGAGATGGAAACAGGAGCTGGGCAGGTGAAATGGATGCCTGTCAAGAGGCAGCATGGGTTAAGTTCTAGCTTATCTTCCACAGCTATCAGAATGTCAGAGCCTGTAACACTTTCCAATTTTGCTTGCAGGGATAAGCCTCTGTCGTAAAAATGTCAAAACAACCAGCATCACATGTCAAAGCCATTCAGGTAAGACATAGCATTTAATGTTTTTAATATAATAAAATAATAAATCTCATCCTCCATTGCTTGGCAGACTGCATTTTTACTCAGACAAAGCACCTCAGGAGTGCTAGCTGGGGTTATTCTGTTAAAGTGAAAAGCTTAGTAGATATGAAAGCACTGAAAAAGTGTGACCTGGAGATCATCTTTTGATCTGAGCTGATAAAAAACTGGATCAGATAGGTTCATTAATCACTTGTTTGCATGGTCTTTGCAGTGTTAGGTTATGCCTATTGGAGGATCATCTAAGCAAAATATGGTAATGCAGCTGCATAACTGTTAAGCAAAAATAATTCCTGCAACCATTAGATTTTCCACAAAGCCAATATAATGTTGGGAGAATTATAGGCTACAAAGATAGCATGGGTGTTGTGAAGTTTTTCATGTCTGCATTCTTAAGGAGAAAAACCCTCAAGTTCAAATAGTTGTTTAAGAAGTATTTTATTTAGAAGCCAAAGGAAAATGAGAGAAACACTAATCTTTTAATATGAAAGATTCTTGTCTGCCACATACCTCTTCAATAACACATTGAAGGATGATGGAGTTGATTGTTGTATACTTGTTGCTTATAAGGATAGAGTTGATTGTTGCATACTTGTAAAATAAGCAGCTGGAGAATTATTCCAACATTATCATGAAGTAACATCATGAAGAATGTGTTTAGTTCATGTTATCAATGGCTCTTGTCAAAAGGCCTAAATATCTTCTGAACTGAAGAATCTTACAGAATTCTCATGTATTTTGTAAAATGCACTTCCAATGAAATTTTACTATGAGTTCAAGTTACCTTACCTAAGAAACACAAAATGGAATTTCTGAAGTCTTCTTTGTTCTGTTTTCTGGAGATAATACTAATGCAATGGATTGGAGCATCAAGATTAATTAGCCAGGGGCTAGGCAGCATACTGAAGATGCAAGGCACTGTGAAAGCGCAGTCTCTTTTTATCATCATCATCATCATCTTCATCTTCATCATCATCATCAATTCTACCAAAATAGGCATGCTGAATACTATATTCTAATTCTGTTGAAATTAGAAAAAAAATTGCCATTTTGCCAGACTTTTGATTTCACTCAGTTCGAATTTTCATTCCTCTTTTACAGTGATTATAGAAATGTTTGTAGGATTAATGAAAAATTATGGATTTTTAATAGCTGAAAAGTATTTACTTACATTTTTCATTTAAACTCCATAGGTACATACAAACATTTCTAAGGAATTAATTGGTTTGCATTTTTTTCTTAGAGATGTAATGATAGGCTGCATTTCATTTCTAGGATGACTTCCAACTTCTAAATACAAACAATGCTCCTAGGTTGTTAATTTAAAAATGCATTAAATTTAAGCACTAAGTGTAACATTTTAAGAAACTTTACTTTTTGCAAAGGTAATTTGAATAGTGAGAAAATTACTGCAAAAATTTAAAATATATGTATTAAGCATTGTGTCAAAGGTGGGTCTAGTAAGGAGACTTGCACCTGAACTGATGCTTGTTATGCTTTGAGCAGTCAAGAACTGTGACTCAAAATGTCACATTACTTTTATACATTGTGATTCATATCTCATGATCCTTTGCTATTGTGTGCTGGTATAATAAGACTGACGTGCCCTGGGGAATGTACATCATGCTGCAGCAATGGGAATGTATTGGCACCTCACTAACTGAAGTGTTTCATGGTGTTCTGTGCCTGAAATGTTTTTTTTTTTTTCTGACTGTACTAGATATAGACAAAAATGTTCACTTCCCAATAGCTACTAAATACAGATGTGTGAGACTTAAGGGCAGCAACTGGTTCCCAAGAGTAGTTTGGGGCAATAGAGGACTAAAGTATGTTAATTTCTGGAAAAAATTGCTGACCTCCCCTTCTCACTGTGTTAAAGGCTGTGAACAGCTCTGACTGAAAATTATTCTATCTTTAAAAACTCGGCTTTGCCCAGAGGTAAGGGTGAGGAGGTTTCTAGGGTTTTTTGTTGTTGTTTGTTTATTTCTGGATTTCATTCAGTTTTCTCTACTTCCTTCCTTCCTTCCTTCCTTCCTTCCTTCCTTCCTTCCTCTTTTTTTAATTAAATACATTTATACAAAGATGTCTTTCCAGATTACTCAGTCATTCACCTGGACAGCCAGGAATGGCTGTGATGCTGTGAAGGACTTATCCATAACAGTCCTCAGCTCATGCACAGCTGCATCAGTTGTATCCTAACCTTAATACTCTCTCTAATAAACAGAAAGAAGAACACACCAAAAAAATCTCAAAGTAACAGTTCAATTGAGTCAAACCAGCAATATATTAGTGTGTCATTTTTACAGGTATTTTTCCTTTGGTCTATTCAGAAGGGCCCTGGTAGAGTACATCAGTGCACATACCTACCCAATCATTGCAAAAACTGCATGGCACTAAATATGGTAGGCATCTCAAACAAAGGAAGTGCAAATTCAGTAGTTTTCCTAATTAGTGTGGTTAAATATAACAATCACACCTAGAAAGTCTGTCTAAAGCAGATTATAATTTAGGATTTCCAGAGTCTAGAACAGAAAATTTCCTATTTAGCATTTTACTGGACGGAGATCCCCTAGGGTCATATTTCCATCTCAACTCACTGGTAACAAAAGTCTTGAAACATATTTTAAAAACACAATTGTCTTTTTGTTAAACAACAGAAATTGTTAGGCAACACAGCACAAGTCCTTGCAGAGCTATGCTGGTGTACAGAATTTGGCACACCCATTACACAGCTGCTCATCTGCGAGACAGGACCAGCTCTGGATTAAGAGAGATTTACAGCTCAGGACTTTGGTACCTATGGTCAGGAATTGTTTGGAAATGTCATATTTTCATTTCATACTGGCAATATTTTAATTTACAGTATGTATTATCAGATCCAAACTGTTTTTAACTATGTCTTAAAGGATGCTCATTTTACTAAGTTATTTTTTCATGACTACGTACTTCTTGCTCGAAGTCTGACAGGAATGTCCCTACTGCAGACAAAAAAGTACAAACTGCTTTAGTGTGACACAGATTACTGGGAAAGTGCTGAAGCAGACCAAAGAGTGGTTTGTTGAATTTAATTAGCACTCTGGGACTTAGTGGTTCATTTTTGCTTTCTGAACCACTTTTAGTCACAGCTGGTCTGTCAAACACAGTGGGAAATGCAAGGGCTGTAGTGTTCTGCGGGAGGCTGGCTTCTGCTTTGGCTGCCTCCAAGGGGAAGGAACGTCAAAGTTCAGGATGTGCACCACAAGGAGAGATATCTCTTAAAGTTTGAACATTTCAAACTTGTATGACCATGCTAGCTGTAATTTGCAGAGAAGTTTCCCATTCCAAAAATTGAAGCTGTCTGGAGATACCAGAGCTTGGCGGGGCAGTTACTTAAAACTAGAAACAGCAAAGCTTGGTTTTTTCCACCCATAAATGAAATAATGAGTTAGGAACTGTGAGGCTGAAAATGCCCTCTCTCCTGGGAACTTAAAAAGTGCAGGTGAAAAGTTTCACAATATCGAAACTAATGGCCAGTGGAAGACCTTTATGAAAAAAATACCTGGTTGTCTGTGACCCTGCAGATATTTGGCAGCCCCACTGAAATGACAGCATCATCTTGCATGAATAAGATAATGGGAAACAGGTAAGTAGAATACAGGGGAAAGTATTCATTTCTTGGCAGATGGATTTTTAATTTGCTTGTCATTTGATTACAGCTGTCAGAACAGTTGTTGTGATTGAAAACAGTGAGCTGTTTTTCTGTGGTTGCCCAAGTGGGTCATGATCTGCAAGACCATAACTTGAGCAGAAGGATGGGATTATTTGTCTTCATTTAGTGCAGAGCAGTCAGATAGTAAAGGACAAGAACCGAGCTCGCTGTTAGAAGGTTCTCTGCTTCCGCTCTGTAACATTATCGATTCAACCCCTGGTTTTACCAGTGGGAGTCGTGGTATTTTGATGACATTTCCTAGGAGCAGCTTCTCTTCTGAGATCACGAGATAAGAATAAGTATAAATTGTGCATTTAGTTGATCATGCCATTTGACTTTTAAAACAATCTTGGCTGGGAAATTGGGAAATGGATACTTTTCAGCTGCTCTTTCCTAAGCAGTGTTTTGTGCTATTCTATTCCCCAAAATCTTTACTTTTAAGGTATCTATTATCAGCCCCATTATGATATGGCTACTGGCTTTCTGCCCCAGATAAAAGTTGAGATTGATGCAGTTGTGTGGGTATAATTCTGGAGGGAGTTTGCAGAAGCTAGGGGCCAGTGGTCTGCCCGGTGTTGGAGCTGGTTCAAGTATTTACAGTTCGTAGCAACCGTGGGTAAATTTTGTTGCTAAAATCACATTTTAAATACTTATGGATTAAGATGACTCAGGGCAGTCTTCCCTTCTAAGATACCTTTGATTAAGTGAGGTGAAAACTGCTGTCATTGGAGAATGGAGAGTGGTCCAGTCATTGGGTGTTATTGAAGGATTTGCATGATTTACATTTAAATGTTGCTTTTAGCACTCATTTTCTGTTTGACCTTGACCGAACTGAAGCAGACCCAGGTGCCTAAAGATACTTCAGCGTCCAGTACTAAATTGTTTTAAAGTCCAGTGAAATCAGAAAGCATTAGTCTAAAATGCAGAACTTCAAAAGCTTTCTAGTTTGTTTTTTCACTTCCTTTCTTTCAAGTGGAGATGAAAGCACTTCTCTTTCCAGGTGTGGTGTGATGATGCATACACTGAAGGCATAAGTGCTTGGAAACCATGATAATGTCTATACGCTTGTCCCACTCCTTTCGAGTTTTGCCATTTGCCAACTGTATCTTTATTTATCAGTCACCATTATATACATCACAATTTCCTTCTCACAGGCTAATATTAACATCCCAATGGGAGCATTTCGACCTGGTGCAGGCCACCCTCATAAAAGAAAAGAAGTTACACCTGAAGAAGTGGAGGAGGTAAGCAAAAAAGGTTTTTTGATTTGTTTTTTTCCAAGGAGCAACCCTGCCATAAAATGGAAAAAGCCCTTAAAGTGATCTTATAGCTCCACATACCAATCTTAGGTACCACAGTTGAACAGGCACTGATCATTCATGGAAATAAATGGCCACTTACTAACACTTCATGTATAAATAGTTCTGCTTTTGGTGCCAAGGCACCGATAGGAATATAAACTGTGTCAAAGGTGTGTAGCTCTGCTTCCCCAGCGGGATGATATCTGCTGTCAGGAGAGAGCCAGGATTTCACCAGCAGTATTTGTCTAGATGGGAGCTGATGAGATACAGCAGGAAAAGTTATAGCAAGGCTTTGGAAGAATTTTCTGTTACCTGTCATCCTGTGGCGTGATTTATTGTTACAGCTTAGCAGTATTGGAACAGGTTTTCAAACACAATGCTTTTTGGAAGGTTTATCAACAAGAATAAATTGAATGTGAAGATGCTTGCAAGTTAAACCAGAAATTCTGAACCCATTTACCTGCCCTGAGGTGAAAATACTCAATTTTAGACTGAATTCTGTATTTTCCTGCTTGTATTTTACAGGAAGTGTTTTAACACTGAATTTTGAATATAAAATCCAATTTATACCAATCCTTAACTAACATTATCACAAAGGTTATGATTAAACACAGATATCATATTTCTGAATAATATTAAAGCATCTTAATTACCATTAACTTCAACAATAAATGAGACCCTAACACCAACAGTGGAAGAAAAGTCGTAGATATTCCAAGCAAGACAAAAAAGACAGGTGCTCCTGGTTTCCTGGCCAGTTTACTTAGTTTGGATTCACAATCCCCACATGAGAACTCATCCTGCTGGGCCAGAGCTCCCACTGCTCCTCACAGCCAAGGGCAGGACAGGCTGTAAGACCCAATTCTTCCTTTCCTGGCTCAGTCAGATTTTTTTTTTTCTGAATTTTGCCATATTGTGATATAAACTGTGCTCTGTTTACAGAGAACTTTCCCGAAATAATGAAGCCTAGGCTGACTTGGCTCTTAAGAAGATTTTAAAAATATGTGTTCAATATTGTGGCTTTCTTCCTTGGAAGAAAGGAATCAAAGCATATTCTATTGTCTCTGCAGTAATTAAACTGGTGAAGGAGTGGATGTTATTAAGCAGAAACTAATATAGCATGTGTGAGTTCTAGTAGTGTTTGAGAAATAAATAAATGACCAGTGCTGATAATTACATTTGTTTGGATAATTGAATATTGCTTTCTCAGCTGCATGAATACTCTATAGGAGACAGACATTATGGAAGTTCTTGGCCCAGGTTTTATGGGCAATACTCAACCAAACCAATGGGGTTAAACACTACAGAAAAAGATCTTGTTATAGGAATAGAATGAAAATGCTACCAGTGAACTTGTCATTTCAATTTTCTCATATTTTTAAGTTTTGCCGTAAGTTTTGCCATACAGCTCATGATTTTTCAGGGCAGTTTTGTATAATCACTGCTAACAGTGCATTTTCCACTGTATTTTAAAGGAGATGAGGGGAATATGGATCTTACTCAAAGGGGGGTGGAGTCAGATAGGAATGTATATTTCTGAAGGTCAGTGGAGCAGACATGTTAACATGAAAAGAAATGGATGGTGAGAATTACAGAAAATAACTCTTCAGTCAGACCATTCCCATGCTTGTATTTTTTAACCCTTATTCTATATCTAAGTGACTCTTCAGGCTTCCTTCCATAAAACTGAAGGCTTTAGTCTAACCTCAGCTGTGCGTTGCGCATGGAGTGAGTGATACAGGGAGCAGTGAGGTCATAAATAGCAAACACCGGAGGCTGGAAGAGAAAGCTAACAACAATTTATGGAGCACAAAGTCTCCAAAATGTGGGCAAAGCTTGCACCACTTGCTCTACAAGAGGAATGGTGTTGCACGTGACTTGAAATGGTATTTTTACATAGTTTTTGCTACGTACTAATAAGTACGACGGGGTTCAGGGAGTGTTTGTTTCCCCTGATTATTTAAATTACCTAGGAAAACTGTCAAAGGAAACAATACAAGCTCATGACATCTTTGACTACTGATACAATTTTCTGCATCCTTCCAAACAGCTTTTGTATCAATTTACTTACTCTCCTGCTGTGCTCTGCTACTGTTTCAGGATGTTAGATTATTAAACCAGATATCAGACAGTACATACAGTTCCTGGGGATGAATTAATGGCTGGGATTTGAAATGATCTAGCAAAAATAATAGTAAAATATTATTAGTATTATCCTGTATTAATTAATAGTGTATTTGCTAAAATGTGAGAAAAGATAATACAAGTGTACCAAGCCAAGAAATGTAATTATCAATTCCATTTTCTTATATCTGGTGATCTTAGGAAAGTCCTTAAAGATCAGATAGGAAGAAAATTACAGTTTTCTACAATACCTTGTTTGTTCTAGTTGACATCGCAGTCTTCTTTCTGATTAGCATGTAGTCCATTAGTCAACAGAGAGAAAAAAAAAAAAAGAGGGATTTACTGGCCAATAATATTTGACAAGTAATGTTGGAATTTTAAAAATTAAGTTAAATATTAAGAATTGACTGTTCACAGTTAATGTAGCTTTTCAAAAAGGGTGGCTAATAAATCTAAATCATTATTGAACTCTAAAAAAGCCCATCACAAGAGGACATTCAGAGAGTAATCAAAAATGAAAAAATAATTTCATCATGAAATTATTTATAGTAAAATATAAATTAATCTCTACATGTACTTGATTCTTCCTTTATGCCAGCTTTATAAAACATGCAACAGGCTGGAACAACAATAAACTCATGTCTGGAAATCTACTCCTTCAAAATATTATCCAGTCTAGAGTAGAAATGGTCTTAAATACCTGCTCTACTCACCTAGAAGCAATAGTACAGCTGAGGAAGTACCAAGGGCTGAAATACTGTGGTCCATTGGGAAATTAGCTGAGTTGCTCACTATTGTGTAATTGCTGTTATTTAACTGGCATTTTTACAGTTTCAGCAAAATGGCCATGCAGCACTACCCTAATTCAAATATAAAATGACAAAAAACCCTTCTGGTCTTGCAACTGAGGTTATGAAAAGTTAAATTTCAACTCATGTTAATCTTGCAGGGAGCTTTTGGAGTCCATAATCTACTATCATAGCTCTTCTCCAGAGCAGCAGAAGTGCATGATGATCTTCCTCTCCAAGTGTCTGGCAATTGTGAAACTATCAAAGGAATTAGATGATAAAAACAGTTTTCTACTTTTTTGTCATCTAAAATATGAAAGACTTGGAGTTGCCTTTAATTCTCCAGTCAGTTATTTTCTAGTAATTGCCTGGCACTGTAAATTCTTACCCATTCTAATTCTCATTCCCTCTATACTGAGCATCTTCTATTTTTTTTAGAATGTTGTTAGACATTTTAGACAACAACTAAAAGAATAATCTATCTCTTCATGACTCCACCCCTTTTTCCACTGGGATTGCCTTTAGTATAAAAATATCATTTCCTGTTTTTCAAATAACTGATCTATGCTCATGTTCAAGAGATTGCTATTGCAGCAGGAAGGTCACTGGTGTCCTTTTGTGCAGAATGCTCCTGCTTCAACAGAGGAGGGGACAGAGAAGAAACTGCTCCCCGGAGCTAAGAAACTTCCAGGTCCTGCTGTCAACTTGTCAGAGATTCAGAACATAAAGAGTGAGCTGAAATACGTCCCCAAAGCTGAACAGTAGCTGGAAGAAGCAGGTGAGTAGAAGAGAGGTTCTCTGCATGGCTCTTGGAGAAGCAGGCTGATCCAGGAAGCTCTCTAAGTTAAAAGATGGCTTTTCAATTACTTCAGTGGACCTGGAGTCACAGCCCATAATGCAAAGAAAAAATATTAGAACTCATAATTGGGATTTGCTGTTATTTCAAACATGTTGGAGAGTATATCCAGTGATATATGGCACCCATTAACCAGCCTGAAGTATCTATTCAGCATACTAAAAATTCAGTGTGTTTGGAATATCAAAGCCACCTTAAAAATAACATAATGCTTCATAAGCACAACTTCCAGTTTTGCAAAATATAGAACTTGTATTTTTACAATATAACTACAAATGAATGTTTCAAAATGCAAATAAATTTATTGCAGTGATGGGCAAGTAGGTCAGTATTTTTAAAAAGCTGCTTTGGTACTTTAGTTATTTGATATTAATTTATTTATGTAATTCAAAATTGACATTCTAATGGTTCCATATATTTGATCACAGAAACACAGCCAATGTTATTTGTGCCACTCCAGGACTTGCTGTAGTCCAGCACAGGAAGGACATGACCTGTTGGAGTGAATCCAGAGGGTCACAAAGGTGAAGGGAGGGCAGGAGCATCTCTATGAAAGACAGGCTGAGAGGGTGAGGTTGTTCTGCCTGGAGAAGAGGAGGCTCTGGGCAGACCTTGCTGTGGCCTTTCAGTACTCAAAGAGGGCTTATAGAAAAGATAGCAACAGAATTTCTAGCAGGTCTTCTTGTCACAGGGTAATGAGTAATGGTTTTAAACTCGAGGACTCTGGATTCAGACTAGATATAAGGAAGAAGTTTTTTACAGTGAAGGTGATGCTGGACAAACACTGGACCAGTTGGCCAGAGAAGTGGTAAATGTCCCATCCCCAAAAACATTGGAGATCAGGCTGGATGAGGTTCTGAGCAAGCTGGTCTAGTGGAAGATGCCTCTGCTTATTGCAGAGGGGTTGGACTAGATGACCTTTAATGATACCTTCCAACCCAAATCACTCTATGATTCTATGATAATTTCATTTAAAACTAAATATTCAGCACTTCAGTGCCAACTTCAGAATAATTTATATCTGATTTCAAACAAGATCCATAAGCTTTTGTTGTTCTACATTCTGAACCTTATAGAAATTAATGATAATTTCTGTCCATGAAATTATCCTCTGATTTCCTTTGAAAAGCCTGAGTCAGTAAAGATGTGTCAGGCACTTACAATGAAAACTCAGATGTACAGAGAAGTTTTAATACAAAACAGCCCTCCACCCTGGCTACAGCAAGAAAAAGATAGTTGTGTTACATAATATTCACCTGAATTGCTAGTTGTGCATACTGACTGATAAATCCTTTTTATCCTAAAGAGAGGCAGAGGAGTTAAGCAGGAGAAAATCATCTTGAATTTACAGAAACATAAATGAAGAACAGAGGAAAACAGAAAGCAATGCAAAGGGGTTCTGGGAATGCAGAAGTGCTAAGAACCAGGAATCTTAAAAGAAATGGTGTATAATTTAAGTGCATTATCCCAGTGTACTCTGCATCATTAACATAATTATTTTTTATGTACAGTATAAATATGCCATTTGGAAGGAAAGAGTGTTGAGTCTTTTCTTGCTTTTACCCTGCTGTGTCATAATGTTCCTGATATTTTAAAGATGCAACAGAATCTTTCTCTTCAGGAAACTTGGGGGGGAAAAATAACATTTTGTAAAATGTAACATTCTAGTAATTTCACTAAAGCACTGCCCAGAGAAATATGAATTTTTAATGTCAGGCTTTAAAGAGGTTTTTTCCTGTAAGAGATATTCCAATGTAAATTTAGTCCCATATTTATTCTCAGATGATTGCTATTTTTAACATTTTAAAGTTTTTTAGTTTTTACCTTACTGAGAATCTGACAGAAACATTTAGGGCATGCTCAGAGGTTCACTATAAAGTTTTCAACGGCAAGATCAGCAAAGCAAAGGGCATCTTGAAAGCAGTGAGGTTATTAAGAAGTAATTTCTGTCTCTGTCCTTCTTTTGATATCTTGGTTATCAGGTTCTGACAGGGATACAGATTTCTAGATTTTGGGTAGTGCAGTCCAGATCATATCTGCAAGCTCAGTTTCCATAGGATTTTCAGGTACAGTACTCGCTGGAGCCTGTCGGTTTGGATGTTGTGCAGAGCTAAGCATGTACATGAATTCCACATAAAACTGAGATGTAAATTAATCAGGTGCCACCTCCAGCAGCCTTGAGTGATGCTAAATCTAAGCACTGTCCCCTGTAAGAGGAAATTCATCAGATCCGGTGCTTAAGTTGTGGCCTGCAGCCTCGTATAAAATGTGATATTGTCAGAGAGCTGTTTTATGATTGATCAAGCAAATCTAGAGAAGATTATCTCAGTCTGCAAGAAATTCAGAGTCACATATGCCTGATACTTTGCTCCATCTACAAGAAGGGGTTAGAGATCATCCTTTGGATGTGATAATCTCAAAAGAATGGTGAACTGACTGATCAATAGAATAGGCCTGTGCAGTGTGTACTGATAGATGAGGGTGTTCTTTGGTTTTCACAGTTTGGAAATTAATTCTCTCTTACATCAGTACTATAATCTTCTGAGATATTCACTATTGAGGGGTTTTCCTTTGATATTATTTTTTTTGTTTCTTGTGGTACTCTGTAGGAAACTGTTTCTACTTGAAACAGAATAACTCCAAATACTCTGGATAGTTTCCATTATTTTGTGATCCTATAATATGATACAATAAAAAAAACCCCACAAATACGCTTTAACATGCCACAGATATCAAAGCTTTTAGAACCACAGCAGTTATTTCCAACTTTACCTCCTGTATTGTCATATTTCATTGTTAGTTTCAGTAAATTGCAAGCTAACATGATGAATTTTGTATTATTTTTGATCCATGTTTTCTTGCTCAGTTTAGCATGCAAACCCAGCAGCAAAAATAAGGAACCTACAAAGCATTAGGTTGGTTCATTATTTGCAAACCCATTCCTACATAATTTTCACTTTGGAGTAACTTCTGATAAATATCTTTGGTCCTGCTCTTTGCCAAATTAGGAAACATGAATAGACTTGCTAAGATCATAGTAGTGAGTATAACAGTTTGTGGGAGGAATGTAATTAGGGAGATGTCATGAAGCTGGATCCACTGAAGGTCATCAAGTGCTCCTCAATTAAGATATTACTGTAGTCATCCCTTATGGGGATCTGGTCTATCATCTATAATTAGCTAATTAGCATACTCTACTTTGTCATAAAGGTTTTTTTCTTCCATACCTGTAGATGATGTGTTACATGCAGCTAGTTTTAATATACAATGTGAATTATGATTAATTTCCCTTTTCTCCATCTACAATTTTTTTTCTGCTCCCTTCACATTCTACATTCTGCTTCCTGGACATTTCTGCATGCACAGGAATGAAGCATATGCAAAATAAAATAGTAGCAGAATATCATACACTAAAAATATATGCCCTATTGAAAAAGTAATGGTAGGAAGCATTTAGTTTGTGACAAATGGAGCCTGCTGTGGCTGAGATTTATTGCCAATTGTTGTGATATCTCATGTGATAACTAGTATGGTGATTGTACTTGAAAATGGGCCTGAGCACAAACTGGCATTTCACCTGAGAACATAGAAAATGTCAGCCAGTTCCTTCTGCAGCTCATGTTCATTCTTCATTCTGCATCCCTTCACCTTTTGTCCTGAAGTGTGGAGGGCTGTGTACCAAATCTTTTTATGGTGAAGGGCCATGGAGTCTAAATGCTGGACTTTGGTTTCAGAGGACCTAAACCTTCAGCTAAAGTGGTCTAGTCCTTTCCTTTTGAAGAAGACTTTCTTAGTGGAAGAACTTCTCAAAAGTCAAAAAGGGAAATTTACTGTCTCTAAGTTACAAAAGTTACTGTGTTTAACTTACAAAACAGTATGTCATGGACATAGGGGCACCACTCCCAGCACTGTATTCTAGTTGTGCTTGGAGAAAGGAATTGTCAGGATTCCCTTCACAATGTTGATGAGATGGTTTCTCACCATCTGATGCAGTACTTGCAGACAAATCGTTGTCTTTACCTGGAGCTCTACTGGGGAGGGTGCTTTGATTGCAGAAGGTATTCTGTTGTCAAGTTACAGAAGCAAGAGAATGGTATTTTGAAGGCTGAAGAACTAGCAAAAGCTTCCTAGGGCAGTTTAGCCTTTGCATTATGAAGAATTCTGCCCCACATGAAATGAGAAATCTTGTCAGCAGAGCAGCCTCTGAGATTGGCATCATTTGGAGAAAAAAGAAAGGGAAAAAAACCCTAACAGAAGTCTCTTAGGGAATAAAGGTCTCATATCAATACACACAAGATGTTCCTTGGCGTTGCTATTAATTATTTACATTCAATTTTTTTTAAAAATTAATTTAAATTTGTCGATCACCCCAGGCTAAAAATGCACATTATAACTTTTCCCACTAAAGATTTAATACAGTTTCCTGCTATATATTGGTCTAAAGCTGCCCCTCAGTTAGCGGCATTTAGCCATTTACCTCTCCTGGTGTCTCTGCTGTGACACACAATTTAGTGTTTGCATCTTATCCCTGTGCTCACGTGGCTCAGAGGGGTACAGTTAAACTGCAGTACAGTTACCTGCAAGGTTATTGCTTTTTTCTCCAAAAACACAGCAGTGCTTTGCAGTAGAGGAACTCTGACCTGCTGTGAGCTCTTGAAAGAGCACTGCAGTTTCAGGAATATGTGTTCGTTTAATTGAGTCCCAGCAGCCAAAGCTTGTGTGAGAGAAGGGAATCCTGCATCCAGGGGATGCCAAGCTAGGTCAGGAGACAAGATCTCCTGGAGTGGGAACTATAGGGTGAAGAAGGAGGATGTGCATCAAAAATTTCTGCAGGACCCTCCTGCCAAAGTCAGAGGGGTCATGGGGAGATCTCCTCGGTGTGTGTAAGTACCTAAAGGCAGGGTGCAAAGAGGACAGAGCCA